CATTTATATGAAGACAAAGTTGGAGTGTTTAAAATGAATTCATCTGTTTTTCGATCATAATCGGCTCTGGTTTCTAGTCCTTTTAAATTGGTACCATGTCCCAATTCAGTTTGGGCATATGTACCAATAATCTCAAAGTTATCTGCACGCTTACCAAACTTCTGATACAATTCATCAGTACCGTGAGACTTAAGAGCTCGTGTAAACATTAGAATATGCACTGTGAATGTATTGCCGAGCGGCATAAGAGATTCGGCCAGCGGGCCCATCATTAAAGTACTGTAAGTATTTTAATACTGAATCAATCGCGAAGTAACAATTTTTTTAATCTTACGGATAAATTTCATTGCCATCTGGATTAATTTTATTTTGCAACTTTTTTAGTTTTTCTGCTGCTTTAACACAATCATTTAATGCTTTTGTGTATAAATCCTCGTATGATAAATACTCATAAATATGTAGATCCTCAGTATCTGATAGCAATTCAGTTTCTTAAAAAATTTACAAAACTTTATATACATAAAAACAGTTTTTATTTATATGTAAATAAATTGCTTATTGTCCTATATTTTTTACTGCGTAATTTTATACAAGTGTACTCTACTCATTTTTAATTCTGGTATAGAAATGTTATGTTTTTGCATGGCTTTTTTAATACGTAGATAATATAGTTTTAAATAAGTAAGTATATTATAGTACCTTTAGTTTTTCACTAATTTTTTTAATTTTATATTGAGTTTAATTAAATTTATGGAAATATCTCTTAGCAACTGTACACCGATGAAAGCTACATTTTGTGTAGGACGTTATACCATGTTCCCACTACAGCTAAATTAATTTATATAAATCAAATTAAGATTTGGTCGTTTCCACTGGCATAGGTTCATTAATGCATGTGAAAGAGCTGTGTGTCAGAAAGTTCTAGGAGAGCTTTTGTTAGTTTACATTTCAGTTGATACCCAATTGAAATGAACACCGTTTGTTAAATAACATATGATGTTGTATAATATAATGAATTATATATTTGATATATAAACATATTCATATATTTTTATGTATGAATTATATATTATATTTATAAAAAACAAACATTTTAAAAAATTAAAATTTGTCAAATTTCGATCATTTCCTTTTTAGGGAAACATATTTTGCAATGTTGTATTCGACATTTTTGGTGCAATTTCCTTTTGTAGGGAAAACTCTTGTTATGGATAATTAAACTTCGTCAGCGATCTAAATTAAATAAAATACTTTCAGGTAGGCTATGGGAACATTGATGTAATTCCCTAAGCTTTTTAAAAATATGTCGATTTCTTCGCCATTGATTAGAGCATTGGTATAATTGTCTTTAAATAAATTTGGCTGGAGATTTATAAAACAATTTTTAGGAGTCCCCAGATTTTCATCAATACTTTTCCCATAACATATAATATAATATTGATTTTGATTGAACAAATACCTCTTAATTACTGTAAAATCTATATGATCTGATGTTTCTATAATTTTTTTTTACTTTCGCTTTTATAGGCGATGAGATTTTATAAGTCATTAAGAGATATTCTTATGACTCTCTCTTAATGAGATCCGTAGTAATTACTTTTATCGATAATAATCACTTTCAAACAGATAATTTGTTCACCACTTGTGTAAAAAAAGTCAGAGAAGCTTTTTTATTTCTTATAAAAAGTTAGTATAAACTGTTAAATAAAAAACCAGCAAATCGTTTGTTTTTTTTGGAATTGTTTGTTTAGTAATTATAATCAATTAATAGTTTTTATTACAAAATTAAATCTATTTCTTGATATTATTTTAATTTTACTATAATTGACTAATTACAGTTTCAATCTTCAATTATTTATATTAACACTAAAATTTCTTATGAATTAACTACCAGAACTTTCCGTTTTTTTTCTTATAGGTTGCATATACCGAGATTCAAGAATCTTAAAACCTCTGTAAGAAAACACAACCTTATTATTTAAGTATGATAGCATATTTAAATAATTCTTTTTTTTTTTAACAATGCTGATCTACGTAGCTTACTTTTTAGGTTTTACGCCTAGGCAACACTATGTATTGCCAGATAAATTTTGACATTTTTGGTCAAAAGTTTGACGTTTTCGGGAGCTTATTGTGCTGTTTCTATCGATTCTAAATATTGACTCTGCGAAAAAATGGAAATAAATAATAAACATTTTCTTGTGATAATTTTTTACGATTTTCGATATGGATTAACCGAAAAAGAAACAGTTGTTCATTTAGTTATCAGAAAGATTTGTTCCCATCGGATTCTTCATAACTTGACAATCGTTCAAAACAAGGCACGTACTGATAAATGCAAGAAAATGCTGAAAAAATACGACCATTGTAGCTCAGAAACATCTACAACATTGTGACACATGCGAATCATGGATATACGCCTATGAGCCCAAAACAAAACAACAATTATCTGTTTTCCAAAGTTTTCCAAAGTGAGCAGAAGCCTAAAAAAGTTGTTCGCTGATGGAGCAAACCCACGCAAATGGTCGCGCCCAAACAAACCGTTGAGACATTCAAAATCCTGGATTTGGAGATACCAACTTCAGAGGGGAAAAACTGTTTCGAAAACTGATTCAATCGACTGCAAAAATGTGTTTATCATCATGGAGAATACTTTGAAAAACATTAAAACCATTTTCACTGATTAAAACCTATGTTTTCATTGTTTAAAGGCAGCCCTCGTATAATTTATTATCTTAAATGCATTAATATGGCATATATTAATAAAATTTTAAAAAATAAATAATTTTACATAAATAATTGCTTATATCAAATACGGGTCAAAGAATTAAATCCATCCTGACTTTAATTGTGTATGCCATAGTTTTCCTTATCAAATTAAGTATCTAAATTCTGCACAATTAAATATATCTAATGACATCTTCGGTTACTTTGAACAGGTATTTTAACTTCTTACAACTACAACTGAAAGTTTATGTGCATTTTCATTGATCTTTCTATGCCAACCTCTGATCTTTGTACTTCTACACATTTCTGATATAGTTTCAAAAACACGGATTTCCCAATTAAGTGCATTATATCTAGTATAAAAATGTGTTGATCATATTAATGCAATGATAACATAAGTCTCCAAATTATCTATATCTTATATTGAAAGGTTAAAAAGTGCAGGTCATATATATATATTATTTAAAACATAACACAAATAAGTTTCATTTTCACTCAGTATTTAACATGTACTATGGCAACAACAAAAATTTAAATGTTACAAGGGATCCCTAACGCTTTTAATGCATTATTAATGCACATTTCAAGTCCAAACGAGCTCAAGCTGCCCGAATATTACACTTCCTTCACCCGCTCATCAGCAGCAAAAATCTCAACATAAAGAATAAAGTTAACATATTTAAGCAGATTATTAAACCAGAACTACTCTATGGCAGTATTGCGTTTTGCCAAGCGCCAAACTCAACTTTAAAAATTCTTCAAAGAGGGCAAAATATTGCCTTAAAAATACTGGTTAACGCCCCTTGGTACGTAAGAGGTGCAGATATCCACAGAGATCTGAGAGTCAATTTAGTCCAAAAATACATTAAAGATCGTGCTCTGAAACTGTTCAATATAATTGACAGTCACAATAATCCAAGACTCAGCATCCTAAAAATACAGCGAAATTTGATAAACACTGGCAGATACAAAGACATCAGATCCATAATATTATAAAGCCCCGTATTCAGTTATTCTTAGTGTGATTTAAAACTGTCCACAGATAAAATAGAGTAAAGGTGCTGATTCACCAACTTAGACATCTGAATATCAAATATTAATGCAGTCACACAAATACAGACACCTTACCAAAAAAACGTTTCATTTGCAACTTATTTTCACCCTGCCAAAACAAAGCGGCGAATTCTTCACTGTCGAAACTAGCATTTTGACGTTCTTTCAAAAGATCCACATTAATCGAGTTATTCACCGACATTTTCAATAAATAAAGAAAAGAAAATTGTAATCCGTTCAAACACCCGCCACGAATACACACAACTAGCACACACAACTAGCAGACACAACTAGCAAACCTGTTCGGAATTGCATTTATATGTTCCCCGACATCTATTAAACAAATCTCTGAGAAAAGCTTTCTGAGATTTGAAATAAAGAAAGCTTTAAGAGTTTCAAGAAAAAGTGTTGTGACTTACATTCGGTGGTTCTCGATGGTTTTATTAAAATATTAATATTTTATTAATAATAACAATAATAAATAAAATAAAAAAATTAATCAATATTAAAAGATAAATATAAGTTATAAATGAATAAGAAAGTTACATTATAGATTTATTTGAATATAATTTTGTATTTTATTGCTATGTAATTTAGTGGGGAAGGTGTTGGTAAGATGTTTAGAATAAATATATTATATATCAGTACTCATTAGTACTCACTTTTTAATCGAGTAGCATAAATTGGTAAGTAAACGGTAGTCAAGGTTATATGATTGAAAATTTATATTTTACATAATATATCCTTATATATATGATGCAATAGACACAAGTGCTGAAAAATGAAGGTCAGGCGGACATTACAAGTGGGATAGTTTTAAGCGCGGTGCAGACTATCATTTTTGAGTCTCATTCAAGTTGTGCTCTGTTTCGCTCAAATTTATTCTAACGAACGAACTTAAACATGCTCACATTCAAGAGTTGTCATTTAAGCAAAGTTTTTGAAGAAAAAGGGTGTTTGCGCACGCTACAAGTGTGTTAGTGCAACCACGCAAAATTATGCTCTTGAAAGACGAATACAAGTTTTTGCGTGACAGACTATCATTCACAACATGTTGGCGAGAACCTGAAGCCTTTGGTACGTAGTGCATGTAGTGCATGATAAATCATATTTTTCTCCTCCTTATATCACTTTATTCATGAGTTGAGACCTATGTAAACTGAAAAAATAATAAAACTTTCAACAAATCAAAAAACTTCTTATATTATTATTAAAGCCATACACAGATATTTATTTCATTACTATATACAGAAATACATAATTACCCCAATAAATATTTAATTTAATTTAAAATTATAATCACAATTTGCCTTGCATGAATGGCTTAAGATGCGAATGGAATGACTTGGGCACGGGCTGCGAGTTCAATGAACTTTGTTTTGCTGCCGCGTAGATGCGTTCATATACATTTCCATCATACGCACCCAGTGTTGACTGAAGTACCGAGTCATGGAAATCAAAACTGTCACATATTGCCACAGCATCCGTTCTTAAACGTTTTAGAACTTCTTCCAAACGATTCTGTAAGTCCGTTACATCGGCATCAGTTAGGTTAATGAACTACAAAAATGTTAAAATTGATATATAGAATGATAAAATTGGAATAATATTGAATATGTAAGTTTATAAAGTTGAATATATATATAAATATAAGTTAAATATAAAGTTAAAAATAAAAATATTACTGTTATCTAATGATTTATTGAAAGAGTGATATACAAAAGTACTTACTTGCAATATAATATTCATATGTTGTAGAATCGTCTTTAATAAAAATAATTCCAAAAGATTATGAAGTACAGCTCTTAATTCATTTGATTGTTTTGCCAAGGCTTCACCAGTTACTTCAGTGAAGAAGTTACTCGCTACGAAAACACAGGAGTGTAGCTAAGTTCATTGAAAGATTTAAAGAAAAACTTTATTAAATATGACTTCAATACCTTAAGTTATTTTTGTTTTAAGATTATAGAATAATGATTGTGACGAAATTTTAATTATTCATAGATTTACTTCTGTAGAAGTTCCTAATATTCCCAAATAAAAAATTTAAAGTATGTAAATTTGATGCAAATATTTCTTGACATACCGTCTGGATCAAAACTTTTCAGTAATTTATTTAAAAAATTGAAATACAAGTTTGTTCCTGACCATTGATATTGTCTCTATTGACTGAAACTCACTTATATCAGCGTTTTAGCCAATTCTTAAAACATTTTTATTAATCGGTTTTTTGTATTGTCATCAAAGCCGTGTTTGATTTATATATTATCTCGTCTAGGCTACTACAAACAGGTTACTCATGGTGGTTTGTTGTATCAATCAAATAAGAAGAAACCACAGGGAGCAAAATTTGGTAAATTCAAAAGATTCCGATTTGTTTTTGTACAAAAACTTACGATTAAGGATGGCAATGTGAAGATAAGTTACCATTTTCCATTTTAAAATAAAAAAAATCCGAAATCGCACACCGATGCAGATGTACTCTCGACAATGTGGCTTTTACAAATGTTAAGATCTGACACTACAGTTTGGAGGGAAAGTTATTACCTGGTGGCAGTTCTTGAGCGCGCCACCTGGCGATAATTACAAAACAATTTTTATCAAGGTCTTGTACAAATAAAAGCAAATAGACGATATTTAAAATTATCATCTAATAATAGTAATAATAGATAATCTTTTATGTAAATGTTACATAATAAATATATTATGTAAATATAAATGAATTAACCTACCTCTGCTGCTTGTATCAATTCGATGCCTGTATTATTTAAAGCACTTGGTTGAGTTTGACCCATTTTTAAACGTCTCATATAATTTGAAAATGTCACTTCAGTTTTTCTTTAAAGAATTTAATCACAGTATATTAATATTTCGTTATTCAACATATAGTTTTTCTCACTTAGTTACTCACTTAGTGGTGACAAATTGTAGTGCTTTGATCATACAATCCCACGAACCATTCCAATTAAAGGTTTTCGAATTTTTCCAATCGTTTAAGTATGACATTGTTGGCATCAATTGTTTCTCAGCTAAGACATCTGCCCATTTCTTCATCAAAATTTTTCCCACTTGCAAGTATAAAACAGTATTTTCTCCTTCGTAAGTACAAGCAGCTGAAATTCTGCTATATACATTTCCCATATTAGCCGAGGTAAGATAACCATGTCCTCCACAGGCAAGCCGTAACCGCTCGATACCAGCTGTGGCATCATATGACGATGAAGCTTTCAATGTACAAGCCAATGCATGCAATTCCTCCATGCGAGAAAAATCGTTATTCTGAATAGCAACAGTAGTATCTTGAAAATATTTATAGAGTTTTAAACCAGATAAGTAATATGCAATAGCAGTTGCTATTTCCGGAATTAATTTATGTTGCTGAGTCACGTGATCCAAAATTTGTGGCTCGGGTTCACTATATTTCAAATATCATTTAAACTAATAAATGTATTTTTAAGTACTTATGTATCATAACTTACTCAGGATTAATTGGACTTTGACGTCTAACAGCTGAATAGCGAGTTGCTATAGTGGACACAAGAGCTAAGTTATAGCCACAACTGAGCACAACCATACAACGTACATATACCATTGGAAAGTAAGCTAATTGACTTTTGGGACTTTGTATAAATGTTCCATCAGATAATACTTTCGAATTTTTCATTAACATATTTGTCCGTGGAATACGAACATTTTTAAGACCCAAAAATCCGTTGTTAACTCCATTGAAACCAATTTTCTTACCAATATCACCAATATCAATACCTGCTAAAGGCATATGCGTCTTTTCATCACGTACTTGCAATAAAAACATTTGTATGCCTTTAGATTCATTATCGATGTAGAGCTGAGCAACAACTATACAGTAATTGGATGTATGACCCACTAGAAAGAAATTTAGTTATATTCAGTTATTCTGATATAAAACTATTGTTACTATTAGTTACTTACAACCACCTGGCCACCATTTATATGACGACAAAGTTGGTGTATTTAAAATGAATTCATCTGTTTTTCGATCATAATCGGCTCTGGTTTCTAGTCCTTTTAAATTGGTACCATGTCCCAATTCAGTTTGTGCATATGTACCAATAATCTCAAAGTTATCTGCACGCTTACCAAACTTCTCATACAATTCATCAGTACCATGAGACTTAAGAGCGCGTGTGAACATTACAATATGCACTGTAAATGTATTGCCAAGTGGCATGAGAGCTTCTGCGACAGGACTCATCATTAAACCCCTATAAGTGTTTAAATACACAATCATTCGCCGAGTAATAATTTTTAAAATCTTACGGATAAATTTCATTGCCCTCAGGATTCATTTTGTTTTGGAATTTTTTCAGTTTCTCTGCTGCTTTAATACAATCCTTTACTGCTTTAGTGTACGAGTCCTCGTATGATAAATATTCATAAATATGTGCATCCTCAACATCTGATAGCAATTCCTTTTCTTAAATGTATTAAAAAAATTTACATATATGAATTCAATGCTTTAATTTGTATGTATATTAATTTGTTAGTGAATTGAGTACAATTTGAAGTAATCAGACGATATAGCGTCAATGGACACTCATTATGGAGTTGCCCCGCTTATTTTTGCGTGTATCTACGACAAACCAACGCAACTATAATATTCAATAATGTATAACAATAATATTCAACGTTCAACAGATTAAAATTTAAATAGGCTCTAGCTCTAGGCTCTACCTAACATTTATTTATGGTATAATTATTATAATTTTTGATCTTCAACTTATACAATTACCAAGACACTTGCAATTACCACTGCGCAACTGATCAGTTCGTATTAAGATTGTATCACCTACCAATCAGTGTTAATAATATATTTATTTTTCTTGAGATGAGCAAAAAATATATTTGTAGAAATGATCTAATATAGTAAAACTTTTTTAAAAAATTTTATATTTAGGCGTGAAAATCATAAAAACAGAAACTTCAGTATATTTTAGACTTTTATCACGATTTATTAAATGAATATAACTCGTCCGAAACGTTATAGAGATGATCATGAGACAAAGTAGACTCATGATCATCTCTTATGTTATGTTTGAATCCTACGCTGTTTCGAATACGTTCAAAATAATTAGGGGCTAACCAATTTAGATAGTTGCAGAATATCGTATCTTGTTTTACCTGATCTCGCTAGAGACCAATACGTTTGGATGTGGTCTTCGGTCAGCCAGAATAATCTAACATTACGTATTATTATAAATGATATAATAAATTTAAAAAAAATTTTAATTCACAAATGTAGATATGAGTTTTGTAAATGGGTGGTCTTAATGAGTTCTTTTACACTATTGTCCTAATCTTTTAGATTAAAACCGTTCAATTCGTATCAGCAAATCATTTTTATTTAAACTTTGTAATAGATTTTTTGAGTTTAATAAATCTTTCCTACCAAATCAACATTTCATATGAATCTACCAAATACTCATAATAGTCTAATGCTTATATTTGACATATTTATTGTATTTTCGTTAAAAAATTCAATTATGTATATATTCCAGCAAAAACAAACTATTTTTAAATTCATTGTTTTAATTCGAAACTGTGTTAAATACAAACCCAGGCTTATGACGTCACCCATGTATTTTTCCCCCTCCGCGATCTATTCATTATATTTATATTTTAATTTTGAAAAAATGGTTAAAAAAAAACTATCAATTGATTACATTATAAAACCTATATTAATATTTCATTGTAATAAAATTAATACCACATAGTGTTTATGATAAGTTTAGTGTTTAATTATTATCAGAGTGCAAAAGCTAAACTGAAAATAAATTTTAATCTAAACTGCACGGCGTATAAATATATATTGTCGATTTGATTTTGAAGAATCTTATCTTTGGCATCATAGTTCAATATATATTTGTGTAAACAATGCTAACATACCATGTATATTTTTATATACAGTGAAATGGCATTTGTTCTTAAATATCTTAAAACATTTAACCTTTGAAGACTTTCCTTCATATCAAGGGTTTAAAAAAAATTATTAGACGCGTTCAGATCTGAGTCCAATTTCTTAAAACTTACTTATTAAGTTAATTACATATCTATTAATGAAACCAACATTTATACAAAAATTAGAAACGTATTGTGTATTCTTCCGTTATCTTCGAGACAAATTTCACGTTCTTATATATACAGTCAAAGTTCATATTATATATCCTTTGGACTTTGTGTGGCAACCTAATATTCTTATTACAAGTATTATAAATACATACATATATATATAATGTTATAAAAAATATCTAACTGCAAACATTTAAAATTTTAAATAACTTAAAACGTTAATTGAGTTATTCAATTTGTGATATGTGGCAACAACACAAATTTGTACTTCATAAGCAGTCCTTAACGTTTTTAATGAAGTGAATTTGACATAAACACACAATTCTTACCAGCAAAACGTTTCATTTGCAATCGATTTTCGCCTTGCCAAAACCAAGCGGCAAATTCTTCAGTATCGAAACTGGCATTTTGACGTTCTTTTAAAAGATCGGCATTAACCGATATTTTCTCTGACATTTTCACTTTCAATTTAAGTTTCAATTAATCAAAACAAGCAAACTAAACAACTGTCATAAACCGAACAATTCACACAACTAACAAAAACCTCTTCGAAATCGTTCTTTTATGGGAACTGGTATCTATCGACACAATGTATTTTCGAAAAGCTTTCTGAAATCTAAAGAAAGGGAGCTTTTCAATTGCAAAAAAATACTTATAACTACACTATCCAACAAATTTAAATTTTTTTGCACAATGCCTTACTAAGTAATTACTGGAATAATTTGGCACTATAAGTATAATATATATATAATATAATATATATATATAATATAAAACATATATTTGGCAATATAAATATAATATTTGTATGTTGCACAACATATCCAACATTAAAATCAGTCAAATACTTATATTCATAAATGTATTTGGCTGATTCTAAAATATCCAACTCTAAAATATCCGACTCTGTTTTAGTTTTTTGAGAGGGTTTCGATCCTTCTTCCACTTCACCTACTTACCAAACTATTACAAACTATTATTTTAAACAAAAATTTCTCTTTTGTGACCCTTTCATTTCACATGTCATCTAAAAAGACACATATTGAAAAAATTGAAGCCAATGAATTTCAGTAGATAGCAAAAAATTTCTTTATAAAAAATCTTATAATATTTTCTTTTTGATTACAAATTGGATTTCATGAAAGGCTTGAGGTATTTTTCAAAAGCATCCGGCACAGGTTTCTGGTTGAGTGGACTTTTTTTGGCGGCTTCAAATATACGTTCGTATACATTGCCATCATGGCTTCCTAACGCAGAATTTAGAACACGATCATGAAAATCAAAGCAATCACAAATTCCCACAGCATCAGGTCGAATTTTTTTAAGGACTACCTCCAAACGCTTTTGTAGAGAACGTAAATCTGCATCATCAAGTTCCACGAACTTTAAAAATTTCCAATTAAAGACAAAGAAATTAAAGAATTAAAAATGAATAATACTAACTTTCAGGATTTCATGCATGCTATTAAAAGTGTAATTAACCAAAAATAGTTCTAAAATATTATGCAAGACGCCATTTAATCCTGCTGAGCGTTTGGCACTCTTTGGACCTATGATCTGATTTAAGAATGTAGTAACAACAAATTGACGACCATGTAACTGTGAAGATGTAAAAAAATGTATTAATATTTTTTTTTAATTTGATATAGTTTGCTTATCTACTCACTTCGGCAGCCTGTATTAGTTCAATGCCAGTATGATTAGCAGCTTCTTCCTGAGTTTCGCCAGCAGCTATGCGCTTGGAAAGATTTTCGAAAGCAATTTGAATTTTTCTATTAACAAATATTATTATTGAATGAAATAGTGTAAAAATGCCTGTAAGACTTACTTGGCAGCTGCAAATTGAAAAGCTTTTACTATACACTCCCAGGAATTGTTCCACTTAGGGAATTTCTTCATACGATTCACTTCTTCTAAATAAGCCATACTTGGCGATAATTTTTTGCCACTTGCAAAATTAGCCCAAGCTTTCATTAGGTACCGTCCAATTTGAAGCAATAGAACAGTATTTTCACCTTCGTATGTGTAAGCAGCCACAGCATTACCATAAATATTACCTAAGTTTGCAGCAGTTAGATAGCCATGACCACCACATGCTAAACGTAGACGTTCAATGCCAGCACAGGCGTCTGTAGTACAAAGCACTTTCAACGCGCAAGATAAAATATGCATTTCTGGTAACCTGGAGTATTCGCCTTTATCCGCTTCTTTAAGGGTCTTATCATACATTTCCCACATGTATTCCGCAGATAAATAATAAGCCATGGCATTAGCAATTTCTGGAAACAGTTTTAATTGCTGTGTCACATGATCCATAATTTGTGGTTCTGGTTCACTAAAAATAATTGTAATTAAGATGGGAAGTTTTTTTTTGTTATGAAAGATTTACTCAGGATTGATGGGACTTTGACGCCTAACAGCAGAGTAACGTGTGGCTATTGTAGCTGCTTGTGCCAAATAACTAGAATCCAGATTTACAATCAAACAACGCGTATATACCATAGTCAAGTAATTTAATCTCGAAGCTGGACTTTGCACAAAACTACCGTCACGATTCACCTTAGCAAATTTCATCAACATATTTGTACGAGGTATGCGTACATTTTTCAAACCCAAAAATCCTTGATTAACTCCGGCCATACCTAATTTCTTACCAATCTCACCAATGTCTATACCCGGTAATGGCATATGAGTTTCAGTATCTCGCACAGGTACAACAAACATTTGAATACCCTTATGTTCATCTTTAATGTATAATTGTGCAACAACCATGGCATAATTAGAGGTATGGCCCACTAAATTAAATACAAGTTAAAGAAAAAGTTTAAATAAAATTGTATAATTCACTTACTTCCACCAGGCCACCATTTATAAGCTTCCAATGACGGAGTATTCAGAACAAATTCATCGGTTTTGCTATCGTAATCGGCGCGTGTTTGGATACCACGCACATTTGTGCCATGGGCTAACTCGGTTTGTGCATAGGTGCCGATTATATTACAATTTGCTGCCGGTTTTCCAAACTTTTCAATTTGTTCCGGTGTACCTTGTCCCATGATGACGTCAACAAACATAGTTATATGCGTTGCAAACGGGTGATTGGCCGGCATTAGACCATGACTTGCTACTCCATATAACATTTTACTGTAATTAAAAGAAAAGGAATAAATATTGGGGATTGATATACTATTAGAATTTGCTTTTCGACTTACGGCCAAATTTCATCTCCTGTAGATTTTTTTTCCTGCTTTAACTTTCTTAGTTTTGTTGCAGCTTGTGTGACGTGCTTAACGGCTTCATTGTAAAGATCTTCGTGAGAGAGAAACTCGTGAGCAAAACTATCGCCCATATCCTTGAAAAGATACTCCTCTAAAATGAAAAAATTAAAAATTAATAAATATATTCTGTATTATTATACTTATACACAAAATATTCTTTTTATTGAAATATGTAATCTTTTAATATGTATTTGTTAGCTATAAGTAACTTTCCTCTGGAACAACAAAGCTGGAAGAACATCCTCATGGTAAAAATTTATATTGTTCTACCAAATATTTATGATATCGTACAGACATGTTCTGTTGTAAAGTAAGACAAACCATTTCCCATTAGCAATTAAAGAACAAAACTATTAGATTTTACTTTGAAATTGTAAAAATTTTTAAGAAAGGTAAATAAAGAAATTAAAACAGAAGTAAATTTCAAAAAAAAAACCATGGACAGTTATTCGTGGATTAATCTATAATATGTTTGTGATACATTCACATACCTATATTCAACTTAAATGTTATCCATAAATTAAGTTCACCAAAAATTACCAATCCATATTATCTCAAGGTCATCAAATAAATTATTAGATGAATATTATAGATGAAGGCAAGGCCTATAAAGGATCCTGAAAACTAAATATAGTTTTACCCACATACAAATAAACCGTATAGATGGCAATGATGTCGAATGCGTTAATTAACCTACAAATGTGGGTGTTTGTAACTGACTAAAGGGCTGCTTATAAAAACAAGTAAATTTTATAAATAATAAATTTCTAATATATATAATATAAATAAAGAAAATTCGTACAATTAACGAAACCAATATATATGAGGATATTACAAAAAAATGCCACAGTTAATAACTTTTTGTATAAAAGTCACAAAAGCTTATTGTCAATCACGGATAAACATAATACTACTATAATGCTACAAACAACCTATTCTTCAGACGTGGAATCCTAGGATTTTTTTACATCCCCAACTAAATAATACAGCTATTGACGTTTTTGAATAATTTATGAAATAGAAACAAAATCACAGAACGAAGTAAAGATCATATCAATGGAAACTATAATGATATTGAATGCAGACTACTCTGAAGGGAATAATATTCTTTGAAAATATTAAAAACTTTCTTTGCTTCTTGATCACATTCTATATTTTAGACATAATAGAACTTTAATAGCATTTGCTATTGCAGTTGCCAATTATACGGATCCATATGGATCCCGAAGGAAATGATTTATAAGTGATTTGCAAGAAACCAAACGATTGATAATACGAAAATAATTTACAATATAAAACGAACTAATCCGATAGCTAAATAATTCCTTTTCTTTTGTCTTTATTATTATTATATATAGCATATGATACAAAAGCTTGTGATGTATAAAAAGTTGTACATAATCAACAATAACGCTGTCAAATAATAATAAATAATAATATAATAGGTCTGTTCCACTACCTACTCGTAGTAACTTTGAGAAACTCTGTGTATACATAAGTGCATTCCACCAGCAAATGCTACACAGTCTTTACTAATACATTTTATTTCAAGTAAAATTTGTGTTGATGTGCGAATCAGCTGTTTTGGTTTGAATTTAAATTTTTGTATTGTTTATTTGCGTTCTCACAAAATTTTACACAAAGCTGTTCCATGAAAATCTGTGTAAAGAGCGAAATTTGACATTTTAATTGTTTATATATTATTTTTATTTGTTTTACGCTCTCAGTTTTTACTTTACTCGTGTTTTACCTAATGTTTTAAGAGAAAAAAGCTTCTCTCTTAACGCTTTCAATTTAAAGCTTCTTCATTGCATAAGACTCTTAAGAAACAAGAAAGCTTCGTTTGATTTTTGTTTTGATCGTTTGTTTTTGTTTAGTTGTCTCTGCTCCAAGTAAGCAACATGTAAAAGTGCGGTCAACTGATTTACCTGTTTGTTGATTAAGCAAGCCATCGAACAGGCACGTCCAAAGGTCAAACTTAACATATTACGAGTGGATGAGTTTCTTAATATTTAATATAATTGGATGAATGCATATAAAACCTAAACAATTCATTTATTTGTAGAATTTTAGAATTTTTTTTAAGTATTTTGCAAGCTGTTAAATAATGACAAAATATAAAGTTTGATTTTTATCTGATTGTTGCCAGCCTATCGTCGCATATAAGTTATAATCAGCGATAAACTGCTTTTATGTCTGGAAACTAAAGTTAATATATTTATGTACGTATATTACAGTAAATAAAATAAAAAATAAAATTTTCATCAAAAAACTGATAACAAATAACAGCAGATATTCAATTTCTACAATTTCGAAAACATGCGATAAAACTGTTTAATATTTTATTAAACAAATGACAGAAATGGCAACCTATTAAAAGAAGTATTTATAATTTATAATTAACTTTACAATGAATACATTTAGAATGTTGATTAAATTAAAAGGGGACTAAAATAAATCGGTTTCGACAAACAACTTTTTTTTATTACTTACACAAACTCAATGATGAGGACTGACACATGATTCGGAGTACGGGTTTCATCTCATTCACAAAACCACAACCCTCATAAAAATCGTTAGAAGATAAACTAAGTCTTATTACATGCCTCTCTTAAATGCAGTAGCCTATCAGCACTAATTTCTACTACTGATTGCTTCCATTTTAGTTGAAGGGAGTTAAAGCTCTAGTGCAAGTTTTAGACCAGATGAGCCTTATGATTTGACAAAAATCTATATCTACCCACGTTTTAACGCCACAGCGTATATAAATTAATATTCTAATTTATATCTATGTATGTTTTACTATAAACTAAATGAAATTCGGTCGAAAATTATAATAAAATTAAAATAAAATTCTCCCTTATTTTTAGATTTATTATTAAGTTTCATATTATTAGAAAGGTCATTAGTAAGTAAGAATAGTGCTATTCAAATACACTGTAATGAAATATTTTAACCAATCCGCATGAAAACAAAGATCAAAGTTCACTAATTTAAGTACCTTTAGATAAGTTATTTTTGATAAGACAAGATTTTAGTCTTCACCGGATTATTACTGTGAATCACAAGTTAAAAATCAATACATATAATAATGTAGTTATATGCTACGTTTTTATTATATATTATTATATATTATATATTTGAAAATTTTATATATATCATAATTTTTTTATGAGTCTTAAGAGAGCATAAATAATTTATACGTAATATAAAATTAAATCTGTATTTAAGAAATATCCGATAAACCGGACCTTCTATATTCGTTAAAAAAAAAACCTATAAGTACTAAATGTTGCATTTCAGATGCATTTTCTTATATATATTCTACTTAACCTCTAATCTCTAAAAGTTACAATTATAACCCAAATTGAGAGTACAATTGAGCATCCGTAGTATACTCGGAAAAAAAAAACAAGCTGTTTAAAGCGAATTTTGGCAAAAATTAAGCATTTTGACAAAAGATGCGATATGAAGTTCTTATACTTTCATTAATTGGATAATACAAAATAATATAGATAAACTCAAAATAATTCTACAAAAAGTTTTTCAGATAGATACATCATCTCAGATACATCATCTGAGAGTCGTGGATTGGAAGTATGTATATCAATGCAATTAAGTGATTTTTTTTTTGCTGCAAAACAATATAAAAATATAGAAACATTATAAAACTTTTAGTCATAAATTGTACTTTAAATTTTCGAAATAACGAAAGGCCTTCACATTATATCTTTCCATATAGTGAGTATTTACTGTACAACAGTTCATTACAAATATCTTTGGAAAAAGAACAGTAATATAATGTATATTACTGTAAAAAGGATGATTATAATATCGTAGTTATATTGACATTCTAGCTAATATCACTTAAATTATATATCTGACAAAAAGGTGACCTATTTTATTCCCAATATTTAGTATAAATCAAAACAAAAACAAAACCATTTCTTTAACAAAATCAGCTGCTTACCTATTTCGCGTTTTTCTCTTAATTTTTCAGCACCTCCAGCCCACCATTCTTGAAATTCTTGTATACTGAAGCTTGTTGAATCTCGCTCTTTTTGTAAATCGGGATTTACACGAGACGGTATTATACTTTTCTTTTCAGGCATTTTAATTGACTTATAAATATAAAAATTTCTTTCAAAATTAATATATCAATTCCAATTTGTTATATGGAGATATCTATAAAGAATACCGATTCTAAATTATATCACAGATGGCAAAATAGAACCGCACACAGATTCTTCCACAATATCGACGCACAAACTAAATAGTTCATGAAAAGTTGTGTTCTTTTAAAGCTTCATTTGTCGTGCTTATGAGCTTTCTTATCAATAGAGTGTTCTCTTAAGTACAAAGGTAACTCATTTTTAAGAGAAACAGTACCATTCACAAGCAATGAGATGGTTTTTAAAAATATACGTGTGCTCAGTGCTTATAGACCAGTATTTGTTTAGAGTAATTATATCTTATGGTAGACCGATAAAACCAACAGATAACAAGAGTTTCAACTTTTTAACTTTTAAATTCTATGTCTTTAGTACAATAAATATTTTTCAAGTTTTTTATATACAGAATATGTAGCCAGAAACATATTGAGTTGAAAATTAAGATCCTTGATTGTTCATGAAATCTAAAGTAACCATAGGATTCTTTTAAGAAAATCTAATGAAGTTATGAAATCTAATATAGATCTTATAAGTGTATCAAGTAATTCTTTAACTGTTTAAATGGTGAAAGTCAATTTTTTATCCATCTTTTAAACCATAAAGTTTAATCCAAAGGTTAGTTATACCACAGATACATAAACTTTTATATTAATAATGTTTTAAATGTATTCGTTTTCTATTTTTCGTTTTCTATATTTTATATTTTGACCGTATTAGTTCGAGTAAATTGGGGTAAAGTAAATTGAAATTTCCTGGGGATTTTTTGCACTCCACTTATGTAAATATTTATTTATATATATATGTTATTGCGCTTATTTATTATTTTTGGTTAAAAGTTTTTACGTCTTAGGAATAAATCAAGACAATTTCTGTCACTCTATCACAAAGGGTTCGTGTATACAAAATTCACCAAATGTAACGTATATCTCATGGAAATTATAATATCTCTTAACAAATGTGTATCCCTTACGATTTTCATATTTACAACCAGTAAAAAAAGCTACTTAAATAATTATGATGTGTTTACATATATTAGAAATATTTAACTATGTTTTAAATATTTCCTATAAGTCAAACTAAAAACAACATTCATATATAAAAATAATACTTCATAGTTACTCCAGCAATCAATCAATTATTTATATCAGCTATTAAAAGTAATAATAAAATACAAGAAATTAATTCTATTTTTATCATAAAATCAAATAACAAAAAATTACTTTATTACCCATAACAACCTAAAACAAATACATACAACATTTCCAAACAATCTTTGTACTCGTATGTTTTATAGATTAGATTTCATAAACGGTTTTAAGTGCTCATGGAACGATTTTGGAACTGGTTGCTGATTAAGAGGACTTTTCTTAGCCGCTTCAAACAGACGCTCATAAACATTGCCATCATATGAACCCAAAGTTGAAGCCAATGTACAATCACGATAATCAAAACCATCACAAATAGCTACTGCATCAGGTCGTATTTTTGTTAGAACTTCCTCCAAACGGGTTTGTAAAGAACTTATCTCGATAGGCGTCAGTCGTTTGAACTAAAAAAATAATTTCTCATTTAACAAAAGTGGACACCGTTTCTACTTTAAGTTCGGTTTACCATTAGAATATCTCCCATGAACTTAAGTACAGTTTGTACCAAAAATAGTTCTAAAAGATTTTCAATAACTTTGTTAAAGGATACAGAACCTGAATTAGCTTGCAGACTTCGGAACTGTTTTAAGAAAGTATCTGCTATGAAGGCACGTCCATGTAACTGTAAGTTCCAAATTATTAACATTTTCAAAGGAATGTAAAATTACGTTTAATTTCTACCTCTGCTGCCTGTATAAACTCAATGCCAGTATTGTTCGCTGCTTCATGTTCAGTTTGGCCAGACTTCAAACGTTGAGATAAACTCTCGTAAGCAGTTCTAGTTTTTCTAGCTGCAGAAAACTGTAAAGCTTTTACTAAGTTTTCCCAACTACCCGTCCAATTTCCAAAATCTTTGTTTGCTTCAGCCAAATATGCCGTTGTTGGTGCCAAAGGTTTACCAGAAATCACATTACGCCAAGACTTCATTAAATATCTACCGACTTGTAGAAGTAATACAGTATTTTCTCCTTCATATGTACAAGATGCAGTCGCGCCAACAAAAAGATTACCCAAATTGGCAGAAGTTAAATACCCATGACCACCGCAAGCTAAACGTAAACGTTCTATGCCATTTGTGGAGTCATAAGAACTTAGAGCTTTCAGTGAACATGCCATGGCATGCATTTCTGGTAAACGACCATATTCACCGCCCTCAATTTCCTTCGATGTGAGTACATACAACGACATCAAATAATTGGAGGCTAACCGATATGCAACTCCTGTAGCTATTTCAGGAAATAGTTTCATCTGCTGAGTGACATGATCAATAATTTGTGGCTCTGGTTCACTGTAAAAAATTTTCTTTATTTGATTAACAATGGATTATATAAATATTAAACTTACTTAGGATTTATTGGACTTTGTCTCCTTACAGCTGAGTAACGTGTAGCAATTGTTGCAGCCATTGAAATAAGCGTTGAAGCATTGGAAGCAATCAAACAACGCACATAAACCATAGCAAAATAGGTTAATACCGATGCAGGGCTTTTTACGAATGTACCATCAGGATGTACTTTAGCATTTCTCATTAACATTCTTGTACGTGGGATCCTAACATTCTTCAATCCCAAGAATCCATTGTTTACTCCATAGAAACCCATTTTTTTACCTATATCACCAATGTCAATACCCGGTAATGGCATGTGTGTTTCTTCATCTCTTACTTGCACAAAAAACATTTGTACACCTTTCGGATCATTGTCTATATAAAGCTGTGCTACCACAATGCAGTAATTCGAAGAATGGCCCACTATAATCAAGAAACCAGTGGATTGATTTTTTTATTTTATTTTGAGGTGGTTGATGATACTTACATCCACCAGGCCACCATTTATATGCTGATATGGTTGGAGTATTCAAAATAAACTCATCAGTTTTACGATCATAATCCGCTCTGGTTTCTAAACCTCGCAAAAATGTACCATGACCGAGTTCGGTCTGTGCATAAGTGGCTGAAATTTCGAAATTTGCTACCCGCTTTCCAAATTCTTCATATTGCTCATCTGTGGATTGTTGCTTTAAAGCTTTCACAACCATTGCAAATTGCACACCGAACGGATTGCCCGCCTTCATAGCACCCGCAACATGGATTGAAGAGTAGAGGGTTCTTAAAGAGCAGTAATATGTATTAAAATAAAAAAAACTTTAAAAAATGCTAAATAATTACGGCCAAATATCATCTCCTCCTGGATTTCTTTCCTCTTGAAGTTTTCTCAACTTCTTAGCGGCTTCGATTGACTCCATTATAGATTGTTCGTAGATATCTTTATGTGATTTATAGAGAAACAAATCAGCATCCTCTTTCAAGTCCTGAAACATGTAGTTTTCTAAAATTAAGAGATTTATGTTTGATTAATCATATAGATAACATAACGAATATTTTTAGAAACAGAAAGTATTAAGACCAAAAAGTGTACAAGGAATTTACATTCAATACAACGTAAAATTTTGCATATTTTTAATAATCTGCATTACAAGCTAAAGAAATAAATTAATCTATATATCTATTTCAATGGAAAATAACTTACACTCTTTCCATCAAATCTTAAGCACTTATCCGAGTAGAATTGATTAATTCTATCTTTTAACTAAAATAAAAATTTAATTATCGGAACTAATAACATATGTGAAGATATCTAAAGTGCAATTAATTTAAATTAATTAATAATTCAATTAATATGAATTTGAAATATATATGCATATAATTATTTAAAATACAAACTGTTATATAAATTTAAATAGTTAAATAGTATATCTGAAATACTTAAAATAAGAACTGCACATACCTTGTATATTAAAATAATACATATATATTATGTACTAAATAAATTAAAATTTAAAAAAGTGTTCTTCAAATCTTAATTAAAAGGTAGAACGTCAGTTACCCAATATTTTATTTTTCTAAAGGTCAGACAAGAACTAATTAGACTCATTAAATATTTTTTAAACTTTTAATTATTTTAAAAATATAGTTTATAGCAAGAGGACAAGATCTTTCTTAATTGCAGAGTTAACTTTTATAAACAAGATTTCCGCTTCAGGTATTCACAATTAAATTATGCATAATTTCTTACAATTTATGCAGTATTTTAGAGCTCAATGGACCTTCCCGAATGCGGAGCGTGTAATAGACTAACAATAATAGACTGAATATAATGTATAATATTTTAGACTATTCTACTTTACATATGATTGATGAAATTAAAATAATGTTTATATGAAATAATATTTATTGTATTATTGTATAGTATTATTGTTTATAGAGCCGTATGTGTTATTTGTGCAGATATATATGTATTTAAAACTATTCGACTTTCGAACCCCCAGGTTCAAGAAGAAAAATTATTTTTAAAATTTTTGTGTAATCAACAGATCTTATCTCTGACAAATATAAAATAATTTTTATTATCTTAATCTGCACACCAGTACATTATTTTAAACTTTTCACAAAATCACGTACCTACCACTGGGGTTAAGGGTTGCATCAATTTGCTTTAGGTATATAACAATGTAAATAAGTTTACATTACAATTTTGAAGTAATTATCGATGTAGTTTTAATATATTAATAATAATAAAACTAATATTCCTTCATTATAGTTATAGTTATATTAATTATGATTAATATATCAACTAAATTTATATTTATGTCCTTAAAAATTTTTTTAAATAATGCACAATTTTATTAAATTGTAAATATATAATTATACTTTTATATCAAATCACAACGCATAAAAATTTAAGAGTAATATATCGTCAAACACTAACCTACGTCTCTCTTGAATTTTAATTTTTCAGCTCCACCATGCCACCAACTTGCGAAATCTTCAACTTTGAAACTGGCTGCATTACGTTCCTTTTGTAAATCGGGATTCACCGTAGCAGGAATTAAACTTTTTCCAGACATAATTTCTCAATTACAATAATTATAAATAAAAATCAATACACTATCTGCAAGTCTTTTGTGTTCCAACTTTTTATTTACAACGTCCACTTCCAGAAGCGACTATCCGGTTACTGAAAACACAATTTTCTGAAGACCAGTAAATGTGTTTTTCTCACGAAAGTCAGCGTAAATGGCAAAAGCTTTACGTTATTTTCTTGAATACTCAACTAGATCAGGCCGAGAATGAGTAAATAAGCTTTTCCCTCTTTTGATAATGCATTATCTCAAATGAGAATTAATAAGAAAGGGAGTCGGAGCATATCATTATCATTTAAATAAAATGCGTTACATTTATTGTGCTAGGTTAGTGATAAATATAAATATAGTGAATAATATATTAAAAAAAAAAAATAATATATTTATTTAATAATATTTATATAATATCATTAAAAAAATTTCCGTCATTAAAAATATACATACGTGAATGTCAAAATAAAATTAGTATATATACATGGGCGTACACAGATTTCTTCCCCCTAGATTTCAATATTTTATTATTATTTTGAATAAAAATTAAATATTACTTAAAAGAAATGTGTAAAATTCGGCTTTTTAATTTTTTTCTAATTTACATACATATATTTCTTAAATAATAGTTTTTCCACTTTATGCTTGCATAAAGTATATGACAATGTCATATCAGTATACGAGCTTCTCCTGATTTCGGATCTGAGTAGGCTTATGTATATATATCCGATAACAGCAAAACGATTTTTAAGTGCTGAAGTTCATAGATGTAAATGTGTTAATTATATTTTAACACAATTTTAATTAGTTTTGTAATATAATTTTACATAAATTAATTTGTTTTCTTCGTATACCCATTGTTCAGTACAGTGAACTTAGGTTAGAACAATTTTTTATTTTTTATTTTTTTTTCAATATTATGAAACTAAATGAAAACATGTTATTATATTGCTTACTATTAAGTGAAACCCGATAGTATAGACTGCTTGCTCATTAATTCTTAATTACTATTAAATACTTAATTTGTAAAAGTAACAATTAACTATATTCAATTAAAGAAAATTGTAATTTACTAAATAATGATTTCAAAGATCAAATCGTGTACATTAACATAAATTTCTAGATTGATTATTTATTGGAGCTTCATAAAAAATACGTTGGTGCAGTTTTTAAGAACTTATTGCAATAACAAGATAATACGATCGAAATCAGGACTAACTAGGAAAACCTATTCATTAGTTATAATATATCAGTTATAGTCTTTACTGAACGATTTTGTAAAATAACACCAAAGCGTATCTTAGATGAACTCTACATTATTATGAAGCTAACATATTTTAAATTAAAATATTTTATATTTCAATCATGTCTTTTATTATGTATAGGAGAATTGGATATATATAAAAAAGTGGCAAATTTTCGTTAATAAATTTTTAAATTATATGTGTTTTATAGATTAGATTTCATAAATGGTTTCAAGTGTTCGTGAAAAGCTTTTGGTACAGGTTGTTGATTTAATGGGCTTTTCTTAGCCGCTTCAAAAAGACGTTCATAAACATTGCCATCGTAGGAGCCCAATGTTGAACTTAAGGTACGGTCATGATAATCAAAACCATCACAAATGGCTACGGCATCAGGACGTAAATCTATTAGAGCTTTTTCCAAACGTGTTTGCAATGTTCTTAATTCTGTTTCACTTAATCTAACGAACTGTAAAAATTATAAAAAATAAATTAAAAATTTGTACAACATAACATTCTTAATATAGTTTTTTGACACTTACTCTCAAAATATTTGTCATTTGCTTTAATACAGTATTGACTAAATATAATTCCAAAAGATTTCCCATTACTTTTTGCAAAGCTGGAGAGGATTGTTTTTGTTGCAATTGCCTAACCTGTGCTAGGAAAGTGGCACACACAAAAGCACGTCCATGCGACTATAAGTATGTTAATATAGATAAAAATTTTAGATATATATGTGTATGTGTATGTTTATGAAAATATTAACGCATATTATTTTCTCATTAATATTGTCAATTGTCAATATAATATTTATTATTATTAGTAAATAAATTGTTATATTAATAATTTTATATTAATATATATAAATATATTATTTACCTCAGCAGCCTGGATGAGCTCGATGCCAGTGTTATTTGCAGCCTCAGCCTCAGATTGTCCAGCTTTTAACCGTTGCGTTAAACTCTCAAATGCAGTTCGCGTTTTACTAGAAAAACAGAAAAACAGAAAAAATAAATATATTTTATATGATATATTTATATATACTTTGCTGCTACGAATTCCAAATGTTTCACCATGTTTTCCCAAGTACCGGACCATTTTTCAACACTATTATTTTTTACAATATCAACTAAGTAACTGGTTGTAGGTGACAGAGGTTTACCAGAAATAGCGTTTCGCCATGTTTTCATTAAAAATCTCCCCACTTGTAATAACAAGACGGTGTTTTCACCTTCATAAGTTATAGAAGCTGTGGCATAAACGTACAAAGTAGCCAAATGAGCAGATGTTAAGTAACCATGTCCACCACAAGCCAAACGTAAACGTTCTACACCTTCAGTGGCATCATAGGAGCAAAGTACTTTCAATATACAAGATAAAGCATGCATTTCTGGTAATCGACCATATTCACCGCGCTCAATTTCGTTTGAGGTTATATCAAACAAAGACATTAAATAATCCGAAGCTAGACGATATGCAACTCCAGTAGCAATTTCAGGAAATAGTTTCAATTGTTGTGTCACATGATCTATAATTTGTGGCTCAGGATCGCTAAAATATAATATATAAAAGTTCATATTGTTATCTCAATCTATATCATGCTATCATGTGCACTTACTTTGGATTTATTGGACTTTGTCTTCGAACAGCCGAATAACGAGTAGCAATCGTTGCAGCCATAGTTAACATTATTGCATCATCTCTAGCAATTATACAACGTACCGAAACCATTGTGAAGTATGTGAGTACAGATGCAGGACTTTTTACAAACGTACCATCAGAAAATACTTTAGCATTTCTCATTAACATTTTTGTACGTGGGATTCTAACATTCTTTAAACCCAAATACCCATTGTTTACACCGAAGAAACCTACTTTTTTGCCAATTTCACCGATATCAATGCCAGGCAATGGCATATGTGTTTCCTCATCACGTACTTGGACAAAAAACATTTCTACTCCTTTCGCTTCGTTGTCTATAAAAAGTTGTGCTACCACAATGCAGTAATTAGAAGAATGTCCCACTAAAAATAGATGAAGTTAAATGAAATAATATATCATATAATTTTATAAAATACACATAACTTACAACCACCAGGCCACCATTTGTAAGATGATAATGTCGGTGAATTTAAAATAAATTCATCAGTTTTACGATCATAATCGGCTCTGGTTTCCAAACCTCTCAAAAATGTGCCATGACCGAGTTCAGTTTGTGCATATGTGCCACATATTTCGAAATTAGCAGCGCGTTTACCAAAATCTGCATATTGTTCATCAGTGCCTTGTGCTTTAAGTGCTGTGACCAACATAACGAATTGTACACCAAATGGGTTACCGGCCGGCATAGCACCCCAGAGTAATGAAGAATTATAAAGTTCACTTCAGAAAAGTTTAAAAAAACGATTGTAATATAGAGAGAGAAGTAAAATAATCGATTAAGCATATATACGAGTACTTACGGCCAAATGTCAATTCCTCCCGGGTTTCGTTCTTCTTGCAGTTTACGCAACTTTTTCGCAGCATCAATTGCTTGCTTCACTGCTTGTTCGTATATGTCTGCATGGGACTTATATTGAGTTAAATGATTGTCCTCTTCCATGTCCTTGAACATATAATTTTCTGAAATAATAAATTAAAAATTAAATTAAAAAACATAAATACTAAAAACAGTTAATTTAAAAATTATATATTGTATAATACAATATATAATGTATATAATATAATCTATATTATAATATGTATATATAATATAATATATGTACATAATATAATATAATATATGTACATAATATAATATATAATATAATTTATATATATACTCATTTTGAACTCATTATATATAACAATCTGTGTTTCAAAATTTCGCAAAACATTAATATTTTATTTTGTCACGACTTGATCTAATAAACATTAAAAAAATTCTATATATTAATTTTTTTTACCATATAGACCCTTTTTGCGATTTACCTTTTGCAATAGTATAAAATAATGGATATTATCATATTTAAAAAAAGTTATATTGACTTCTAATAATAATTTAAAATATTTAGATATGCAAGAAAATTATGTTGATGGATACTGGATGCAAAATCTAGTAACTAGTTTTTAATAAAATTTTGCTCACCCAAATAAATCTGTCCACTATTTAATTATTTATTATAAATTCTATAAAATTATAATTTATATAATAATCTAATATACTAAGCTAGATATCATATTTCCTATTCATATCTAAAAAAATCCACCTAACAATTATCGAAACACAAGTGAGAATTGGTTTAGCAACCAATAGTGAGAATTTTACAATGGAGAGCAATGATAATTTAAAAAAATAAAAATTTATTTATATTAAATTAATATATTAATTTATTTTATAAAAATAATGTTTAACTTTCATTTATTATTGATATTAATTATTTTTTAAATAATAGCACTATACTTTTCAATGGGTGATTTAAAGCAAAATCTTTAAATATTTCAAATTGACAAAAATGAGTATAGATTTGTTATTAATGTAAAAGTAAAAAAAACTAAAAATTTTTCAAAAAGAGACTTTCGAAAAGTAGTAAACTACAATAAAAATACCTTTTTATATTATTTTTATTAATTGAAATTTGGCTAACCATAGAGCTATTTCGTTTATTACCAAATACCCATCATCAGTGGTCTTGGAAATAATTCTAAAACCATTCATAAACAATTTTAAAATTATAATAATTTTTCTAACAATTTAGGGCCGGTTTGGACTTTAAACATAAACATTACCTGTTAAACATTGTTATTATCATATAACATGTGTTATTGACTATCAAAACTACTTCAATTTCAAAACAACAAAAAGCTTTGCCAATTCACTGTGCAAAATTTTTTTGTAGATACTTTTTATAAACTTACCCAATTCTCTTTTGAATTTCAGTTTTTCTGCGCCACCATGCCACCACGTTGCAAATTCTTCCACATTAAAGCTGGCTGCATTGCGTTCTTTTTGTAGATCTGGATTCACCGTGGAAGGAATCAAAGACTTTTCAGACATTTTAAAATAATTAAAGAGGTTTATATCTACGGTTAAAACAAGTGCACTGTCTAACTTTCTCCAACAAACTAACAATTGACTCAAATTATTCTTCAACATATATAGGCATAGACATCCGAATTACAATAAGGTCCAAAGGTTTCATAGAGCTTTTTACAATTTTGACTACTCAACAAGAGTAACCACAAAGAGCATGAAATCGTCTTTTTTTAAGAGTAGGTGTAATACATAACGATCCCACGACTAAAATCTGATGAAATCTTTATTTAAGGAGAAAAACAATATGATTCGGTATCAAAATATTGTGATAGGTCACTTATTGAGTGATGGGTAGCAAAGAGCAACAATTAAGAGCAGTATCTTTAACTTTAAAATTTATCACAAAATAATATCACAGATAGTATATATTTATATAGATGAGTAGAGCAAATGTGCTTTCAAGTCTAACAAAATTCTTTTGTTAAGAAAATAATAAAAAAAATAATAATAAAATAATATTATAATAAATATTTATTGTAAATATTAATAAAAACATATTAAAAATATAGAAAAGTTATTCTTTTAATATTAGTATGTAAGAAAGTTTTTAAAAAAAAAATTCCGAAGACTTTATGCTTTTTTATAGTTACTACAAACTTGACAAACATTGTGTAATACAGTCATACATATCATATACCATATATAGTCGGTAATATCACAACTAAAATACACTAAGGAGTTAAAAATTAAATAAAATAGTAAAAAAAAAATAAATAAATATTTCAAATAGTCCTGATCTATGGTTTTAATATCTGGTCTGGTGTGAAAACTCATTTAAATAATTGATGTCTCTGTCTCAAAAATAGAGCTTCAAGCACTTCTTAAAATTAGCAAAAATGGGTACTATAAAATCTATATACAGGTTTAACTTTATGTGGTGTCAGTAGTAATAAAAAGGCTTATGTGTGGCTTACGGCAGATTTGCAAAACCAAATGTCGCAAAATAATAAAATGGGACTTCGCCGAAATGAGCAAAGTATCTACACGAGCTAGACTATGACAAGATATGTATGTCCGAAAGCAATACGTATTATTTTCGAATTTATTTTCGAACTACAACAAAAATTTATGCCTTAATGGAAAACTGGGTGTATGCAAAAATCTGGCTAAATTCTAGCTAGTATAGACACAGGGCTAAATATGTTAGTTTCACTTGTATAAATATTACACGTATATGTACATATATCTTATCTTGGAATCTTTATCTTTTATAGTTATCGTTAACCATAGCCTATACTTTGTATTGTAATATATATTGCACCAGTCAAATAAAAATAATATTTATTTATAGATATAAAATACATATATTTTATATATATATAAGTACACTCTCTATATTCAGTACTGCTGCCATATAAACCTCCGATTTAGAAACTTTTCTGAGAAAAAAACTTCTTTTATTTTACTTTGTAATCGCTTAATAGATACTTCAGTTTCGTGTTATTCTATTGAAAAATTTTGTAGTTGTTAACGCAAAAAATATATATACACTGGTATATATACTGACGAAAATCCCTCTGAGTTCCTTTAAGCGGATTGTCTTCCTCATTTTTTGATCTCTATGTATTTTAACAACCCGCTTTAAATAGTATACTTCTTATTTATATATCCATCATCGTTTATAATAAAAGTAGATTAAATATTCGTTCCTAACTAACACCAATTTTGATATATAAATAATATCCTTATTTCCTATATTTTCTTCCATAACTACTAGAATGCAATATCACCCGGGACCTATTTAAAGCCATCTAAAACATTGCTCGTTTTAGTGGGTTCAAGACTAAAGAACCCACTATCAAAAAAGCATGAGAATGTGGCTTTGGATGCTTTTCACCTCAAACCCGGTACTAACATACATTTCGCACGAAAAATTGACAACTACATATAAAAAAATTTTTCTGGAATATATTTTTATGTAGTTTTTTTTTAATTTTTAGTGCAAAATGGATGTTAGTACTAGACTGATGTTAAAGAAAATATGAAATATATTAATAAAAGTGTCGTAAAATAAAATTGAAGGTATTACAAATGAATGGATCTACACAAAAGAAAAAGATATATAACTTATTTTATTGATATTTTGCAAAAATAATACTGAAATAAAAAAATTTCTGTTTGAAAACGTAATGCACTATACTGTTAAATTGAAATTCTTCATGCTAATAATGTTAATTACTAATTTACATGGAATTTTATAACCTTTTAGAATATATTAGTTTTTATGGAGAGCGTTCAAGTAGGTAAAAAATTTTTTGAGAATATTGAGGAGCACTTTTCTTCCTTAGTATATCCGCAAAACATTTTCAATCTTTCATTTGAAAACAGGTAAAAAATTCCTACTCTTTTCGTAAGAATCAGATACAAATGTGCAGAAATTCCCAAAGACGATGAACATATGCACGACATTCGAAAGTGGTGAACTCACCACACACCTAACACATGGAAAACACACCAAAGTATTTTGATAAGAAAAAACAGCAAACAAAGAAACCAAACAACGCTAACAAAAGTCTTTGCTCACAAAATTTGATTGCAGCTCATACTAAAAATAAATAAAAAGAGCGAAAAATAACAAAACCATTTGCTTAATTATATTCACACTGATATTTTCATAAATAATATATATTGAAATCAGTTTGTGCGTGTATATATTTTACACGTACTCGTTTTGGTGTGTATTTAGATACATTTTTTATAGCCGGCAAACGACATACGGTAAATCGTGTAGAAAAATGTTGGCCCGCTCGTCGCTGTTTCTGAGTCTAGTGCTCATAACGCTTACGGCACTGGCAGCGATAGCAACAGTTAGTGGTTCGATGGAGTTCTGTACGAAAGAAGATAAAGAGCATTGCAGCTTAGAACCTCACAGCGATCGCGCTCGTTATGATTTTTATCGCATTTACAATGTTGAGATCAGCACTGACGAACAGATCGATATATTTCAAAAACTGGAAAATCAATGTGATAGCCTAACGTTCATTGGACATGCTCGCGAAATTGGCCAAAAGTTATCCATACTAGTAGCGGCGCATAAGGTAGCTGACTTCGCCGATTTATTGAAGACATATGGCGTCGCCCACAGAGTTTTGGTATGTAAAAAAAATTATACATTAGTATTTGGACAATAAAGCAACTTATATAATTTTATTATAGACCTATAACTTTCAAGAAAAAATTGATAAAAATATGCGTGAAGTCCTTCCTATCGATACGGAACCATCCAAATTTGGTTGGAGACATTATTATCATTTGGAAACAATTTACGGTTGGATGGAACAAATGGTCGAAAAATATCCAAATGATTTGACATTACTCAATATGGGTAAAAGTACACAGGATGTACCTATAAAAGGGCTGAAGTTATCGCGCAACGCAAATAACAAAGCTATTTTTATTGAAAGCGGTATACATGCACGTGAATGGATCGCGCCAGCTACTGCTACCTACATCATTAACGAGTTGTTAACATCAACAGATCTGAGTATACGAAAACTGGCTAATAACTACAATTGGATTGTGTTTCCTAGTGTTAATCCTGATGGTTACAAATACACATTCGAACATGATCGCATGTGGCGAAAAAATCGTCAACTGTTTGGTACATGCCGTGGGGTCGACCTTAACCGCAACTACCCGGATCAATGGAATTCCACTGGTTGCAGCAGTGATCCATGTCGTTATGATTTTTCTGGAAATTCAGCTGCTAGTGAAGTTGAAACTAAACGAGTTATCGATTATGTGCAAGCGAATGTAAATAAGGAACAAATCAAAACTTATATTGCTTTACATTCCTACTCCCAAATGATTATGTTTCCGTATGGCTATACAAAAGAACGAGTATCTAACTATGATGACTTGCAAGAATTTGGTGATAAAGCCGTTGCACGTATTAAAGAAATAAGTGGGCGTATTTATACAAGCGGTAGTCTGATTGAAACTATTTATCCTTCAAGTGGTGATAGCATGGACTGGGCATACACTGAAGCTGGTATACCGATTGCTTATACTTTTGAATTACGTGGACCACCTGACAGCGAAGATTTATTTATATTACCTGCTGAAGAAATAATGCCAACAGCTCAAGAAGCATTCGCCGCTATACAAACTATCATTGAATCAGCGACAGCAAAAGGATATTTTAATTAAATTAAAACATATATTATAAATAATCGATTGGTGATAGAAAATTATTTTTATATGAATCTTTATACATATATATATATATATTTATATATGAACATAAATAGATGCATGCTTTAAAATAATTTTAAACCATAAGTGCTAAACTCATTCGATAATACAAAGCTATTATCTCTCAGATAATACACTAGAAGGTATAGAAAACTAGTTTAAGTAAAATGATAAAATATGTACATGTAAACATATAGTGCATATTATTAATACATTTATATGTAAAAAAATTTAATAAAAATATTTATATATGTCTACCAATACATTTAACCCGTTTAATTCATTTTTATTACAAATTAAACAGCTTTTTAAGCATTGTTAAGTTAGTTTGCAGTCTTTTAATTTTATAGCCTCATAAAAAAAATTTAATGACACAGCACATTTTTATAACAAATGTATACCTAGATAAGAAATTTAAAAACTATTGCAATAAACTACTATCAAATGAGTATATATCTATATATATACTATATATATTTACTTATATATAATTAAAAATTGTTGTATGTATTACTCACAATTTTAACTACGGTATGGTAGGTTGCAAATCTTTCATGAAGATCGGTTCTCATGGGCCTCAAGAATTAGGGCCCATTGTGATACCAAAAACTAATGAATATTTAATAAAAAAGCTTCATTTAATTTAAAACGACTCATACATATTAACTAAGTATCTATAGAGTTAATAGAAACCATAAAAAGTTCGTAGAAACTATTAGTATCAAGTTTCGGCCTTATGACTTCCGCTGCAAAACCAAAGCACAATAATTTAAATTTCAAGGAAATAATTGTGATTTGTTTTGTTTACAATGACGACTTTTTATTTTCTTTATATTCATATTATTGATTCATACTTTTTGAACACAACATTTTAAACTTTCGTTTAGTAAATGTTTTAACTCAAATTTAAATGCATAAATTATAAGAAACTTTTACAATATAAAATTTATATATGCTTATACTTTCAATTTTTTTTATTAGTTTAATTATTAAAATAATTACATAAAAGTACCAGTATATGTCGATGGTAATTTATTTTAACATGTGATATGTGTGGTTTATAAAACGCTTATAATATTCAACGCAAAATTAGACTACAATTGCTGAATAGAATAAGTAACTACTGTCCTTGTAGCTCAATTGTATTGAATGCAGCCACCGACTATAGGTTAATCAGACAGTACTACAGTAACACATTTCCTGTTCATTAGTGACATTTCTAGCTATCACAATCAACTACTAAAGTTGTATCGTTCATTACTTTTATGAACAAGTTTTATTAATTAACGCAATTATTAAAGCGTATCAATAAAATTATTAATCATACAGCTAAATTTACATAAACAGCACATTAATTTCATATTCTTCTCATACCAGATATTCTCATACGATATTCTTCTAATATCATATAATATATTATATATTAAAAACAGTTCTAACAAACATATAGTATTGAATAATATTTTTAATTACTAAATTTTTAATCTTTTTCAATGTTTCCAACTATTCGAACGTTTTTTGAATTTGTAGAGAGTTTAAGGCAAAATTTTCTCTGTGTTGCAATAAATATTATTGTTAATTAAAAAATATATAATTCTATGTTATATTATTAAGCTAAATTTAAAACTAAAATTTATGGCTTTTGTTTTAGCTAATTCCTGATGAAATCTATCTATCGAAATCAAAAGTTTTGGTACATATTACAATAAATTTTTGTTTGCGTTCTCTGATATTTTTTCTGGAGTGATGTTTACTTTTAAATTTATGTGGAGATTGTTAATTATTTAAAATTTTTTCATTAAGTCTGAAAATGTTTTCACAAGTGTACAATTGAGTACTTTAAGACATGGAATTTTACAATATATACATAAGTGGTTCCTATCAAATTTGATGTGTGGACTCGCTTGTTACAGAAAAATCTACTTGAAATCCGAACAATTAAACCAAAAACTGTTGCCAATGACCATTGATGATGATATGCGACAGTAACAGATTTACAAGTATTGATTTGATTAAAAATTTCCTCAATATTACCTTCTTTATTCAAAATATCATCTCTACAATTAAATTGCATCGCGAAAAATAATGAACAAATCATCATTTTTATATGAAAATTTCAAACATATTTTATATACATATAACACTTAGACGTTTAAGCGGATACTCGATATATTCATAATTTCGATAAAACTAACCAACATTTTGCGGTTTGTTTTTTATTTTGTGAACTTATCAGTTCTTTAATTATTATGGTTTAAATAAGCAAACAAGAAACTACTAATTACCACAACTCAACCGTCCTTAATCGCCATTGTTATATGATTTCGTGGTGATAAACGTGGATCAAAAATAGCATGAATTTTTACTTTACAATCTAGAAATTAAATAAAATAATTTACAATAGAGTCAAAATTGTTGATATATAATATATACAAACCATTTTCCATTAGAAAAAGCATACGATCATATAATACAATGCTTTCCACAAGTGGAGCAAACATCAAACGCAGTGTATAAAAAACGACAACACGTTTCCATTGAGCAAGGTCTGTCAGCGTTTCACTAGTATGTAATTCTTCTAAAGGTATCTCAGCTGCGGGCAAACCCTGCACCGCTTTATAATAATAACTATAAAATAGAAATCAACACAATTAATAATTTTAATTATTAATTACACTTACTGTTCAAATTCCATGCCTTGAACATGTTTTACACTTTTCAAGCCACAGTGCTTCAAGGATGGCCACTTCTTTACTAAAATTTTTTCTACTGCAGCACGAAAGGAGTGCACTTTTAAATACTCATAATCTCCGATTAAAAGACGATCACAGTAAGTTTCAGTTGCATGACAAGATATTTCTAATGCTTCATAACTTAAATTTGTAAATGTTTTATCGTTTTGTAGAAATTGACTTAATGGATAACCGTAGGTCTTATTGTCGACCTGTGTTAAAGCAGTTGTCAATTTCATATAACAGCAACTAACAAAATTGAGAAATTTTGCTTGCTTACAATTCAAAAATAATCTCATTAGTATTGGAGCTAGATCGCCACAAGGATGTAAACCAATTATACCAAAACGAAAATCTTCATCTTTTAATTTGAGTTCATCCTTCAGTTTTGTTATAAATTGTTGAGCAGTCATGTCAGCGGTCAGGCGTAATGTTATGTGATGTGGTCGTTGAAATTTATCTAAATCTTTTGATGGTAAATATTTATTTGCCAACAGTTCTAGTTTATCATCTATAATGCTAAAATTTAAAGTAAGGAAAAAATAAGTGCTATGTAATTACAAACTTTTACCTCGCCTGTACATTCAAACTGTCTTGCATTTCTAAACAGCAAACACGTACGTTGTACGCGTAACCTAAAACACGCGCTAAATGTCCTAAGCCCGCACCGAAATCAACAACAAAATCTACTTTTGCATCATCACTACTACGTTTGCATAATGCTGCCATTTGTTGTAACTCATGGCGTTTTTTTGGCTTTACACATTTTGTGAATACATGTTTCAATTTGTTATGTGTTAGCAAATCACTGCGAGGCAATGTATCTAAATACTATTTAGAAATTGATTAATACAATCAAAATCATAAAATCTTTGCCAACCCTCACCTTTTGATTGACTTCTCTACTGACACACAGTTTCCCCAATAGTACTTTAAGGCACAATAAACCCAATGGACAGATTTTATGCAGTTCATTTTCAGTTACCTTGGAGTCTTCTAACAGGTAGGTTAAATTTTCCAGATTTAAATTATAAAAAAATGTTTGCCATCCTAATGACAACTTTGACCAGTTTTCTTCAACATAAAAGTCCTAAAAAATGCATGACTAAGTTTCTATTTGACAGTGCTGTTACAAAATTTTATTTACCAAAACATATGTATCTAATAACCATTCAAACATACGTATTACTTGTAAAGACTTTTGTAATTTATTTTGCAAACTTTGGACGGTTTCTGACATCATTAATTCAGTAAACAGAGTATTCGTTTAAAAATTTTTCAATCGCAAGAAAAACATGTACAGCGGCTACCATTGAAAAGATACCTGTTGACATTTAGACCACCAATAGCAAAGAACACTTGTACAAATATTCTTTGACCTAAAATTGAAATTCATTTTCATGTTCAATTAACGTTAGATGCTTTGTAAACTATTCTTTTCTTAATATACAAATATGTACAATTTTTTTATTAATTAATTAAATTATTTACTAAAAAATAATTTGTTAGTAGTAAATGCACACGGATCATTTTCTGCTTATCAACTGTTATAATACTTAAATGTCAAACACTATAGTCACAGTTGTTATATTAGATCAGCATTTTTATATTTGTACAAATAATTTGGCAAGTTTGTGGAATATTCATAAGTGTATTATAATATATTTACCCTGTCTCATTTGAATACTTGCTCATTTAAGATTATAATAAGCCCTACAGCTGATAGAAGTTTTATAAACTTCACTTAATAATATCACACAAAAATATTAAATATATAATTGATATATTAAATCATTTATATACATTATACATATCAATAACATATTTAATTAATAAAAATAAAATACTTATTTTCTTAGTGCCTTTGTTTAAGGCTCAGTTGTTGATTATTTGCATTTTACATATAAAAAAAATGGAACATACTTCAAATTTTGGTCATTTCCTTTGTGGAAAATTTATTTTTAAGGGTTGTATTCTACATTTTTCGCCTTTAATGTGCTGATTAATTGTTAAGCTTATTTGTATGAAAGCTCTTTGTATGGTAAATCATACTCATAAGTGATTATAATGAGCAAAACCACCTAAATGAAACAGTGTGAATGTGTTATTATGCCTTTCGAATTATCAACATTTTCTTAAACACCCTACAGACGACAAACTCATGCACTCATGATGAGCAATTAGCTGAAAACGTTATTATGGAATATTATTAGATCAGAGATCTAATAAACCTTAGATCTCTGATGCGTATTTTTCAAGTCATATAAAAAAAATATTAGCAAATATTGATTTTTTCAAAAAGTTTATTTCTAGAAAAATCTAGAAACGGTGCCAATTTGTATGCAAATACTCCTAATACAGAATTAATTAAGACAATAAAGAACACAAAACTATAGTGGTACAATTTTGTAAAATTTGAAGTCAAAGTCAAGCTTATAAATTCAGTAAATTTAAAGTTTTATAAAAAATTTCAACTTCTGTAGTATAGAAAATATGCTCAGGAAATGGAATAAATAAATATCATTGCAATATTTTAACTCAAATATTATATATCTCTGAAAAAGTTCACGAATAAATCATTTTTAAAATTTATTCATTAAAAACAACCCAGCTTCCATAGCAACGTTACTATATATATTTTAAATATATTATTTTAAAAATCTGTCTGATTATAATTTGCTGTAATATTATTTTGTTTAATTTATAATGCGTTTATATATTATATTAATACGATTTTTTATCAATAATTTATCGATTTTCTAAAATTATTAAACTGTAGTAGAAAAGACTAAATAGTATAAGGTAGTAGCTACACTTTTTTTACATCAATGCTAGTCTATTTGTGTGTGCCACTATTGCCTTGTGTAATTGCGTTTGTGTATGGTAATGGTTAACTCTGAACTAAATAATGATAACAAACAAACATAAATAAACATTTCATGATGATAGAACGAAAACAATACCAAAGAATAACATAAAACTACTACTATGTTAGACAATAAAAACAACACGACCACCGCAGTTTCAAAATAATATTAATCAGGCGCGGTTAGAAGTAATTGAATATAATAAACTCTGAATTAAATATTGTTTTGCTAGGTTTAATATTAATATGTGCTATAATAGAAATAAAATATAAAATAAACTACATTTTGGTGTAATATTACATATTTTTAATATTTGATTGTTTACTACAGTTATTCGCTGTTCTCTACTCTAAAATTTGTGCAATTATTAACAAAAAAAAATAAATGTCATTAAAAACTAAAAATAGTTGTCAAATGGACGTTGAGGTGAGTGCCATGGATATGTGTAAAATTAGCTAGTTTCAGAATTAGTCTGTTTCTGCAATTTATTCTACCGATTCTTTTTGTGAAAACTGTGATATGAAATTATATTTGAAAATAGAAATAATTGAAAATACTTCAAACTGATTGTTAAGTATACAGATAAGTGTTTAAGATTGTCTCAGCGACCTTATGCAATGTTATCTACTATATATTGCTATTCCCTTTGATTCCAAGCAATAGTTTGGTGCCAAATAAGGATAGTTTACGTCATTTTATCAATATGTTTGCGCGCTTTAATGAGCTCTAAATCAATAGAGACTCCTATTGCAGGATTTTCTTAACATTTAATAATAACAAAAATAAAATAAATTTAATTACTTGTGATAATTATATGTATTATTTCTATATGTTGAGAGAGAAACATTATTAAATAGTCTTTTCTATTTAGCAGAAACATAAAGTTGGTGATTTTTGGCTTTGGAGATGGATTCTTAATTGGACTGGAACTTCACCGACAACGTTGCGCGCAGCAGAAAAAAAAATTCTTTCATATTTAAAAACACAATACCGAGGCTTTTTCGTTGATATTGGTCCGGCTATATCAGAGTCAGATAAAATATGGACAATCAGTTTAAATACAGAATCAAAAGAAGTGCCGCTGGTGCTATTACATGATTTGGGAGCTGGTATTGCACTTTGGGTTATGAATCTAGATTCTTTAGCAAAAGATCGTCCAGTATATGCAATGGACATTTTGGGTTTTGGTCGTAGTTCACGTCCCACATTTTCAACTGATGCACTCAAATGCGAAAAACAGTATGTAAAATGTGTGGAAGAATGGCGTCGCGAAATGAATATCGATAGTATGATACTATTAGGGCACTCCATGGGAGGATTCATATCTTCAAGTTACGCTCTTTCATACCCAGATCGTGTCAAACATTTAATACTAGCTGATCCCTGGGGTTTTCCAGAAAAACCAAAAGATTCAAACAATACTAAACAGTATCCGTTAGTGTTGCGCGCTATTGCCTATGCATTAACGCCACTTAATCCGCTTTGGTTAGTAAGAGCAGTTGGACCTTTAGGTCAATGGGTTATACAAAAGACACGACCAGATATTATGCGTAAGTTTTCTGTAGCTGTTGAAGACGATCAAAACTTGTTGCCGCAATACATACATCAATGTAACTCACAAAAACCTAGTGGTGAATCAGCTTTCCATACGATGATGCAATCGTTTGGCTGGGCTAAGCATCCAATGATTCATCGCATCAAAGATGTGCGTGAGGATATTCCAATAACATTTATATATGGTTCCCGCTCATGGATTGATTCTTCATCTGGCGAGAAAATTAAGGCACAACGCGGCAACTCACATGTCGATATCAAAATAGTAACTGGTGCGGGTCATCACGTGTACGCAGATAAACCGGATATTTTTAACAATTATGTAAACGAAACCTGTGATTTGTACAAAACAAATAGAGAACAAGTGCAATTACGAGATAATACAGAACTAGATGAAGAGCAGGAGAAAATGGTGCTAAATGTTGAAACACCACAACAAACAGATACAGAAACGCCTTACCTCGAGAAGCTGAGTACAACAGAACTGAACAAAAAGTGAAATTGCTGGATGCACAATATTTTGTTATGTATTCATTATACCTGTATTAAATTTTAGTTCTGAAATAGTATTAATTTATAGAGTCCTGCTGATGTAGCACATTATTTACAATTACTTTAATCATAGTTTATGCAAATGTGTATATAAATCTATATTAATATAATAATATATTTTCATAGTTTACTAAAACAAAATCAAAATAAAAAATACGAATCAACATTTAGTTCTATTAATGGAATTTTGTGGCAATGCGTTCAGTCTAATTGAGGACAAAAACATTAAGTACAAGTTTGAATTTTAGTTCTATTTATATATGTATATAATTATTATTTATATGAGTAATCTATATATTCAGTTTTATATGCATAAATATAATTTATCAATTTAAATATAAAGTGTATTAGAAGTCATTTACTTCGCTCAAAGTACTTTTATAGAACATTTTTATTTCCTACTTTTTAGTTGTCATTGTCGTAATCAAACGCTATTCCTTTTATCAATTTCCACTGATAAAGCATGAAATTTTTATACAATGTGATTTAAAGAATTAAAGTATAAACAATACTGTATTTATACATTATTATTTATAAATATATAAAAATAAGATCGTAATGCGATCACCTAAAAGTATGCTTGTACGCTTACTGACATTTCGTACAAACTGCTCAGATCGTATAAATTAATTCATAGCGATAAGGTTTGTCTGCTTTCTAGCTAATCTACAAAATATTTATCAATTAACTTGGTTTAGAACAATCAAATTTATATATTTTCAAAATTTTTGCAATAAAGAATTGTATAATTTGTCCATATAGTATTAATAACAATAAAGTAAACAAAACAATAAGAATTAGATAATGAAAAAATCTCAACATCATGTGAAGAAGTAATGAAAAGAGACATAGTTATGCCGCAAATCAATAATTGGCTTACAAAATTTCGATTTTTTATAATGCACTAAAACAGATGTTTCTCTAATTCGTAATCTTCACCTACCTATATTAATGTTTTATGTACAAACTCAAATACTTTACAAAATAACATTGTTTTTGTTACCTTTATTGTTGTTGTTGCTGTAATTGTTGTAGCCCGCAAGGATCTATGAATCAGATAACATGAAAAGTATTATAAAGACGTATACATGATTTAAGATTTCTATAGATAATGCGACTGTGAGAGGAGAGGGGATTATAGAGGAGGAAAAATGGATAAGGGGACAGGTGAGATTTAAATTGAAGTCAACCAGGATCAAGTCGGAGAAAGGTAGCGTCTTCAATAGGACGGCTCCAAAGGTCTATTGAATTCAAGATTGTGGGCATTCGGGTAGAAAAATAGATGGCCAGCGTTACGGGAGGTAAAGCTGCAATTGCGGCAGACATTGAAAATTAATGCATTTATATGCGTGACAAGTTACAGTGTAACAGGTAGTTATATCCTGATCTTATATCCTAAGCGAGGATTGATTTTGTTGCCCAAACAAAATGTCGTTCTTCCTAGGGAATATCAAGCAGGGGCTTATTGAGAACTTTATTACACTACAACATTGATCTTGAAGAGAATACTGGAGCTGCATAGAAGCTCCAGAAAGAAAGACGTGACGGAAGATTTTGTTAGTGATTAGTAAAGATTTCTACCACCAAACAATTAAACCACATGGGGACGTATGCATTTATCTTGTTGCACAGTGATGTGGGACCTTGGCTGCAATCGTCACAATACTATACGAATCTGCTTCTTCGAGGAGTCGAATAATGTGGACGTGTAAAGGTTGAATACGATCAATGAAACAACATTGTCCCGGGGACACGTTGTTTCAAGTTCAACCGGTAAAGAATTTCGGCACCTTGCCTCTAAAATGAACGAAGGATTATCTATCTATATATATGTTGGCTCTGGCTCATTGTTCGCCATTGGTAAGGTGCTAGTAAATTCGCCTGCACACTACTTGCATTGAACCACCCACACGTGTTTTCTATACCTCTAACTCAACTACGACTGCGCTGTTGTCTCCACGTTTTTCTTACTTTGACAGAAGTATCAAGAAGTGCAAAGTCACAAACAATTCTCCAAAGAATCAATGCTAACCATTAACTCTTAAACAGCACCCTCTAACACTGCATAGCGACTATACTCAAATTACAACAGTTCTACACCAAAGCGCCGACATATATATCTTATATATATATGTTTATCTGAGTTATATCATTTAGTAAAGCGCTATAACGATTGCTCCAAGCGCTTTACTAGATCTAGGCCTGCCAGTATCGTGCGTTCACAGGAACTACTTTGGTTAAGGCGATAGGAGATTTGTAATCTCCATTTGATATGATCACACAAAGGGCAAAAGTGCTACCGATACGCTTTCTAAATTTATGTTTATGGAGGCCTAGGTGAAAATGCAGCGATATCTGTTTTTGAATCAGGGATTTTAGAACTTTGGCTACTAGAGATAACAGGGAGATCCGTCCATACTAATCACCTTTAACTGCCGGCTAAATCGGCTTTAACAGAGAGATTATGCTGCCAGTCTTCCATACGTTTGGAATGATGTAACAATTGATGGAATTATTTAGAATGTAGGCCAAAACTGAAAGGCCAGTAACCCCATAATATTTGGGCATGAGCATTAGAATACCTTCAGGTACTAGTGTTTTTGACAACTTTGCTTGTCTAATCACTTTGCACACATCATCTGAGGAGAACAGTATGTTATTGTCGGAATATGGCTTCAGGAAAGTCAGGTTTTTCCAGCGGCATCACTCAACCAACAAATCACGCAACAAAAAACGAAAATTTCCATTTAAAAGATAAATATCTGGGATGCGTTACGAAGAACACCTTACTTGGGAGTCAGACATACATTTATGATTTCTATATAATTGGAACACCCATCTACCTCGATTACCTCCAGATAGTCATTATTAGATGAGGGTAGAGTAATTTCACTATAAGAGATTATGTCTCGCAACAAGAAAGCTGCTTTCCCTCCGGTGCCTCCCTCCGGTAAGAAAAGATAACCAGGCTCATGTAAAACGGGTGAGAACAGGTTTAAGATAAAATTGTGGGTGGTTATTTGCAGTAATTGACAATGAAAGTTGAGTTCCAACCATGGTGCAATCTGAACCTAAAGCAAGTTCTATGGTTAAATATGCCACTGCAGTTGTTGCAGCGGACAGAAGTGGTGTTTCTAGAAATAGTTCTGTTGCGAACCATGCTTTACAGTACAGTTATTGTAACCGTTGTATCTTACTAAGGATTGATTTCTGCTAATAAGGGAGGTTGCAGATACAACATTGCTAAGAAGAAGTGGTTAGTCCATCAGAACCGGAGTTGTGGTTAATTAAGCTATTAGAAGTAACTTAAGATGCAAGATAGCCAGGACTTGCTTCTTACCGGCAAAAATACATACACACGACAAATGTAAGAATAAAGCCGTATCCACCTGTGTAGTTTATTTCAGAAATGCAAACGACTCTTGGTTGTCGAGCTCGATGATAAATAACAGAACCATTATTCTCCTAGTACATAGCTTCAACGTTTCAATGAAGTTATTGACATACTGCCTAATACTACGTTTACATTATGAGATTAAGAGAACGAGATTAAATTAATCTGCATTTTTAATTTTCACATTATACATTGGAGATTAATTTTGACGTTTTTTGTTGTGTTTTGTTTCGTGTGCTTGATAAATATCTGTAACTAAAGCATTTAAATACAATTTTGTACAAAAATGTTGATATATAGATTTAATAAATATTTTTATAACAATAATTGAACAAATTTTGGTTATAATTATGTACAAAATTATTATTAAACAAATTTAATAAGAATTGTACTCAGTTCGGCATTTTCAAATTTTCAATGTTTGTTTTGAATAGATTTTGACATTTCTTTTCCAATTCCTCTAATATCGTAAAAGATTTACGATATTAAGACATTTGCAGAGTTGCACAGAAAAATAATTACTATTTCTAAGGAGATAAAAAATTAATCTCGACCAAAACGAGATTAACTTTTGTATGAAAAATCTGAGATTAAACAACGAAATTAGTACTTTAATCTCGATTATTGCTTTAATCTACTTTTAATCTCTCAATGTAAATGCCGTATAAACAGTTTTAAAACTACCAACAACTGGTTGTGAAATGTTTGCTAATCTTTTAAAATTAACTTATATAACTTATACTGGATTCACATAAGAGTTTTGTTTGTAATTTTAGCTGTCAACAATTTTTATTTTGCATTGAAAGCCAGAACAATTGACAGCTAAAATTAGGAACATGATAACTAAAATTATTCGTAAACTTTTGTGTAAATCCAATATTACACTTTTTCACAATTTATATATAATGCGTTTATTTATTATATTAATACAATTTTTTAACTTTAGCTTATCGGTTTTTTAATATTATTAAACTGTAGTAGAAAAGACTAAATAGTATAAGGTAGTAGCTAATTATTTTTTTTATGTCAATACTAGCCTATTTGTGTGTGCCACTATTGCCTTGTGTAATTGCGTTTGTGTAATGGTTAACTTTGAACTAAACAATGATAACAAACAAACATAAATAAACATTTCATGATGATAGAACGAAAACGATACCAAAGAATAACATAAAAACTACTACTATGTAAAACAATAAAAACAACACGACAACCGCAGTTTGAAAATAATATTAATCAGGAGCGGTTAGAAGTAATTGAATATAATAAATTCTAAATTAAATATTGATCAACTAGATTTGAATTTAATATGTGCTATAATAGAAATAAAATATAAAATAAACTACATTTTGTTGTAATATTACATATTTTTAGTGTCTAATTGTTTACTACAGTTTGTGCAATTATTAACAAAAAAAAAATAAATGTCATTAAAAACTAAAAATAGTTGTTGTCAAATGGACAGTGAGGTGAGTGCCATAGACATGTGTGAAATTAGTGAATTTCATAAGTCGTCCGTTACTACAAGTGATATTACTAATTCTTTTTGCTAAAGCTGTGATTTGAAATTATATTTGAAAATAGAAATAATTGAAAATATTTTAAACTGATTATTAAGTATACAAATAAGTGTCTAGGATTTTCTCAGCGACCTTATGCAATGTTATCTATTATATATTGCTATTCCCTTTCTTACAAGCAATAATTTGGTGCCAAATAAGTGACGTCAATTTTTCAATATGTTAGCGCGCTTTAATGAGCTCTAATATAAGTTAACGGAAGTCCAAGTTAATTGCAAGACACATGATCTTAGCTATCAGCCGTTCATAAGTTGAATTATTTCTGCTAAGATGTAATGAGTTAGGTGTAAGGATTGAATTTTGATACAATAGATGCTCCTATTGCAGGACATCCTTAACATTTAATAAAAACAAAAATAAAATAAATTGAATTACTTTGTGATAATTATATGTATTATTTCTATATGTTGAGATAACATTATTAAATTGTCTTCTTTTCTATTTAACAGGAACATAAAGTTGGTGATTTTTGGCTTTGGAGATGGATTGTTAATTGGACTGGAACATCACCGACAATGTTGCGCACAGTAGAGAAAAAAATTCTTTCATTTTTAAAAACACCATATCGAGGTTTTTTCGTTAATATAGGCTCGGCTATATCGGAGTCAGATAAAATATGGACAATCAGTTTAAATACAGAATCAAAAGAAGTGCCGCTGGTGCTGTTGCATGGTTTGGGAGCTGGTATTGCTTTTTGGGTTATGAATCTAGATTCCTTTGCAAAAGATCGTCCAGTATATGCAATGGACATTTTGGGTTTTGGTCGTAGTTCACGTCCCAAATTTTCAAATGATGCACTAATTTGCGAAAAACAATTCGTAAAATCTGTAGAAGAATGGCGTCGCGAAATGAATATCAATAGTATGATACTATTAGGGCACTCCATGGGAGGATTCATATCTTCAAGTTACGCACTTTCATATCCAGATCGCGTCAAACATTTAATACTCGCTGATCCATGGGGTTTCCCAGAAAAACCGGACACAAAACAATATCCGTTAGTGTTGCGAGCTATTGCCTACGCATTAACGCCACTTAATCCGCTTTGGTTAGTAAGAGCAGTTGGACCTTTAGGTCAATGGGTTATACAAAAAACACGACCAGATATTATGCGTAAGTTTTCTGTAGCTGTTGAAGATGATCAAGACCTGTTACCGCAATACATACATCAATGTAACTCACAAAAACCTAGTGGTGAATCAGCTTTCCATACGATGATGCAATCGTTTGGTTGGGCTAAACATCCAATGATTCATCGCATTAAAGATGTGCGTGACGATATACCAATAACATTTATATATGGTGCCCGCTCATGGATTGATTCTTCACCTGGCGAGAAAATTAGGAATCAACGCGGCAACTCACATGTCGATATCAAAATAGTAGCCGGTGCGGGTCATCACGTGTACGCAGATAGACCGGATATTTTTAACAATTATGTGAACGAAACCTGTGATTTGTACAAAACAAATAGAGAACAAGTGCAATTAAAAGATAATACAGAACCAGATGAAGAGCAGGAGAAAATCGTGCTAAATGTTGAAACACCACAACAAACAGAAACGGAAACGCCTAACCTCGAGAAGCTGAGTACAACAGAACTGAACAAAAAGTGAAATCGCTGAATGCACACTATTTTGTTATGTATTCATTATACCTGTATTAAATTTTAGTTCTGAAATAGTATTAATTTATAGAGTCCTGCTGATGTAGCACATTATTTACAATTACTTTAATCATAGTTTATGCAAATGTGTATATAAATCTATATTAATATAATAATATATTTTCATAGTTTACTAAAACAAAATCAAAATAAAAAATACGAATCAACATTTAGTTCTATTAATGGAATTTTGTGGCAATGCGTTCAGACTAATTGAGGACAAAAACATTAAGTACAAGTTTGAATTTTAGTTCTATTTATATATGTATATAATTATTATTTATATGAGTAATCTATATATTCAGTTTTATATGCATAAATATAATTTATCAATTTAAATATAAAGTGTATTAGAAGTCATTTACTTCGCTCAAAGTACTTTTATAGAACATTTTTATTTCCTACTTTTTAGTTGTCATTGTCGTAATCAAACGCTATTCCTTTTATCAATTTCCACTGATAAAGCATGAAATTTTTATACAATGTGATTTAAAGAATTAAGGTATAAACAATACTGTATTTGTACATTATTATTTGTATTAATAAATACATAACAATGAGATCATAACTTGAGCACCTAAAACTATGCATCAACACAAATTTATACATTATATAGCAGTGAACGATAAATGAAGAATAAAAGTTGGCTAATAAAAATGCCACAAGACTTTAAGATTGCTTTACCGAATCTCTATAAACATTTTTATTGCTAAAGTGATCAAGAATGAACAGTTAGCCATGTTTTCAACTATGATAAAAGTTCAAACAAACGATACTGAGTTCAAACTAGTGTGGAGCGAAATATTTCTTGATTGCAGTTGTTATTGTTGCTTGCTAAATGAAATATAAGTTCAGTTTACTATACACGCTCCATGCTATCAGGAAACGTCATCGAATTGTTTTCATACTTAACTATCTTAGTATAATAATCATTTCTTTAAAGACCATATAAAGCCAAAATATAGGAGCTGAAATACATCATTTCATATTTACACATAATTGTGTTTACATGTATTTATTTGACAGACTTTATTTTGCTTGAAGAAACATTTTTGTTTTACTATACTAACCGTTCCCTTGTTTCTAGAAATAAAATCTTAGCTTTTTTTTTTGCATTAGGTGGAAGCAACGAAAGATACCTCTAAGGAATGGATGTGGAAGATTGCAGCCACGTTTAGCGAATGCAACCCCCATTCCAGTAAACAAAAGTAGAAGTAGAGCAGAAGGGCTTAGTATTTAGCAATCTAAATTTATCAGAGCCGAAGATAGACGTATTTAGTTAGGACGGTTGGTATTATTGATGAAGGGGATGGGTTTACACAAAATTGCGAGTTGAGAATAAAATCTTAGTTGGTTGCAAAGTAGTTTATACAAACACTTGCTCAGAAAATATATAATAGCATTTAATTTTTATATAGCTTTAAAAATGCATCTGTCGATAAGACAAAATGTTTCTAGCAACGTCCTGAAAGACTGTCAGTTTCGATTCAGAAACTCCGTCAAATTATTATGTTGTCGGTCTTTCTGGTCTGCATATGAACAGCGCTAATCCGTCGTAAGTCAATGGACCATTTTTCGAGTTCAAGTGCTTCGCTGTACATGGACGCAACTCCAATCTACCTTAACCTTCTCTTCGAAATACTGAAAGCAGTTATGATTTTAATTTTATAAAGCAAAATAAATACGAATTGTCCAGCAAAATAATCAGTGGCATATTCAGTGTCAAAAGTGTTCGCAAGTTATCAGGTTAACCAGCGAAAATAAAAACAAAAGTGCAATTCGCCAGCAAACAAAGAATTTTATTAATCATCGCTAACAAAAGTATAATCTGCCTATTTTTTCCTTATCAAAGCAAAACAATCGCTGGAAAACAGAGTGAATTTGTTCGTTTCAAACAACATATTAAAAAAAAAAACAAAAAAACAGATTTACAATTATCGTTTGCATATATTATAGAATTCTTTATAATAACTTAGTGCATATATAAACATTTTAAAGAAAACAAAAAAAAAAAAACTACTTTAACTTTATGAAAATAAATCTTAAATTTTTTTAGGATTATTTTATAATCTTCTTGGTTAGGTAACTAATTTCCATTGCTCATTTACTTAGCGTTTGCAAAACCGACGCGGTCATTGCCCATGTCGAATTCAGTATAATACCTACCAATAAAAACATCACCAAGTATCCATAGAGGTCCATTTGGTTCTGGTATGTCCATGCCCATAAAGCCGGACAAGCAAATGGTTTTGCCCATTTGCGCAATGCGAAGAATGTAATCTTTGCCCTCTAGTTCAAAGGTTTTGCCACCCAAAACGAATTTTATTACAGGCAACTTTGGAATCATATCACATTCAACCATATATTGACCATTCAGAATAGGGGTACCTCCAATAGCTTCGTTTATTGATTTGGCCTCAGTGCTTGGTGCAGCAATTAGTGAAGTACCAGTATCGGCAATTACTTGGCAGCCACCTTTGCATAATTGTACATTACCAATTGCAGCCGAATCCATTTTAATCTGCCAATAAGCTTTTTTTGTAACTGGCAAGTATGTAAAATCGCCAATATAATGATTTGGATCTGAACCACCAAATATAATCTCACCGCCTTCGGGAGCTGCAGGGTCACGGTTAAGATAGAATGAAAATATTGGTGATGTTATTAAGCCCTGTTCGTACATGCTGTAAAACGGTGGCATCACACCGTCCACAGAAATTGAACTATAACCTAAACCGAGTATACCATCGAACTTAGCTGCTACAAATACCAAGCCTGGTTCAGATAAAGCTTCAGCGAATGTTTGTTGTTTGACATTAATTCCACCAATATTTACGGTATCTGCTGATAAATATCCCGAAAGACTGCCTGAACCGTAATGTATAGCAAACTCGGTGCCATTTTTCACATAAGTATTCGATTTCTTTGCATCATACTTATTATGCATTAAGCAAGCAATATTCGTCAAATGACATTGTTTCGATGGTACCCAAAGATTTGATGAGCCAGTATCAAATACTACTTTGAAATTTTGTGGCGGTGTACCAATTGAAATGGGACCATAGTATTGAGCATCAAGATAATTTGACAAAGGTTCTGGTGCAACACCGTTGCTGCCATATCTCAATCGCAATTGTTGTAATTCTGTTCCAACAGATTCAAAATGACGTCGTGCCGACTTAAATTTTTGTAATGGCACTCGAATTATCTCGCAATTAACGAGCGCAAGACACGCAAATAATATAATTATTTTTTTAAACATTGAATTATCTAAAATAAAATGGTTTAAATGGAAATTCTACGCTTTAATTAAATTAATTATATATTTCACCACCTTTATGCGACTTCACTTTCCACTAAATCTTCCTCTCGAATGTCTGGCACTAACTAATTTTCTTTGGACAAAAATAAGTGACTAAGCTGAAATGAGCGAGCTTTTTACCGGTGGATTAAACAAAACAAAATGCAGAAAATGCAAGCAAAGTGATAAAAATGAAGTTATAAATCAGTGTTGTTAAACGTAAAAATAGTGTAATTTTCTTTTAAATTTTTTTGTGTCGTTGTACTATGTTCAAATATAATTATAAAGAATGGCATTCAGTAGTTTTACTAGGTTTAGTGAATTTCAGGTATGTGAATTATTATTTTTCACTTTATTTTAAATTAATAACAGTTCCAGTTTTTTTTTCTATACTCAAATTTAAAAATTTGGACTACTTTTAAAATATTTCCCGGTTTTATTAAAGTCAACTGTCATTGACATTTATTTAAACACAATTGTTATCTCAATTTTATCTTTTGCTTAAAATTTATCTTACGCATAGTTACATTTGAAATTTCTCTTAATTTTTGCCTTCGTTTCAACGAAATAAGAAGTTATTCTTAAATTTTGTTCTAGCCTTAAAACTGGATTTTATGTAGAAAAAAACAACTTAATTTCGCTAAAACGGGGATGAAATAAATATTTTTGCACAATTAAGGTGTGTCTGAACATAGTATTAGTTGATTTAGGTCGCTAATGATTTTATTAACCGTACAGAAAGATTTTTTACTTATTAACTTAGTTTAAAATAAATTAAAGAGAACTACACCAAAAATGTCAAATGCAACATCGCAAAATATAGAAATAGATTTTAAAAAGTAAGTGGTTTCTCAGGTAATATATATACTGCCAAACTTCCATAACTCGAATTATTATTTTGCAAAAAAAAGGTTCGACTTATGGAGACTTCGTGTTAAAGAATTTTTTTATAATTGTATGCAATTTGCTCTCTAAACCCTGTTGCACTCTATTTAATTCGAGTCATGGAAAACTCGAATTATAGAAGTACGAGTTATGGAAGTTTAACTGTATTTAGTAAAGTATTATCCATTCAAGGAAGGAATTCAATAATTTCATTTACCACTGGGTATAAACGCTTATCATACCAGTGAAGCATTATTCGATTTATAAAATTATCCTATAAACAAACCATCTACTAACGGTATTAAGTGCAATTTTAAGCAGTTGCCGAATACATTTTGGCGCTTAGCACGTTGGTGAAGCGATTTTGTTATTTTCATTTTAATTAATTTAAACTAAGTGTACGTTTTTAAAATATGTTAAATTTAAGTTGTATTATTTGTGCACAATTGATTGCGCCATCAAATGTTGTGTATATAATCCATTGCGGACACATGTTTCACGAAAGGTGTTTGAAGCAGTGGATTCCATAGTCAGTATATCATTTAAAAATATTTATTTAATAAAATTCATATGTATATAATTTAATAATTTTTTTTAAAAGCTCCGAGACTTGTCCGCAGTGCCGTCGTAAATGTACACAGCACAACATATTTCGCGTCTACTTCAATTTGGCAAATTTAAATGAAAGTAGAATGGATTTTGGAGCTATGCAGGAACAAATAGATAACTCAAAACTGCAAATCCAATTGAAGGAAAGTCAACTTAAAGACTCAAAGGCTGAATTAAATTTGCTGAAGGAAAAGGAGAAGCGGTAAAATATTAATTATCAATTTTATTTTGATTCAAACTGATATTGATAATTTTAGCGAAAAACTTGAAAATGCGATTCAACGATTAAAATTAACCACTATCGTAAATAAGGCCTTTAAGGAACAGGTATTTCATAGTTTGTTTTAATAAACAATTAAGTACATAAATGCAAACAGTTAAAATATTGCATTACTTTATAGGTAGCTTTACTAAATATAAATCGAAATCTGGAAAATAAAATAAAATCATTAGAAGAACACATTGAGACCTTGGGTAAAACATCAGCTTTGATAAAGGCTTCTGGTGCCGACGTAGAGAAGATCGTAAAAAAAGTAAATAATCCTACAAAACTTGCCACTTGGATAATAGCTTTAAAAAGGTATAAATAGTTTTTTTATATAGTCTGTAGACCGAATTCTCAAAAGAACCAACAATACTAAGGTTTATATTGTAAATATAGTAGAATTATAGTAAACAAACGAAAAATGTTTAGACGTGTTTATTAATAAATAATTCTGTATAAATATATGAATTTAGGGAAGTGAAAAAACGTGATCATAAAAATAGCTTACTACTGGATATGATTAAACAGGCACAAACTAGAATACTCAACGAAAAGATATTAAGGAAGTAAGATTTAAAAATCTATATATTTATTTTATAATTGACTGAAATATATGTATTTTTTTTTTTTGTTTATTAATTAGAACACAAGAAGAACGAATGACACAACTTGTTAGCGAAAATGATCAACTAAAAGAAAAGGTACTAAAATTATCTCAACAAAATAACGATTACATATCTGAAGATTGTACTCTTTTACAGATAAAATCAGCTTCTGTTGGGCAATGTTCTAGTACTCAAGACTTGATTACTATTAAAATGTCTTCACAGAAGCGAGGGCTTAAGTCTGGAACTAATAGTCCGCGCTTGGAACAAATTAACACAAATGCTGAAAGTACAAATTCAGAGAGTACAAATAATTTCGAACAAACAGCTCCTGGCCAACGTGTAAACACGCGTTACAATTTGCGTGTTAGAAAAGTGTATAAGTAAATTGTATTAAACTGTTTCCAATGGACTTTTTAATTTAATCTCTTTTATATACTCCGTATGTAAAGTAGTCCATTTTTTTAAATAATTCTTTAAGTTTTACATTGTTTATACGTTATACGTTTATACGTTATGTTCAATTCTTAATAACTTTGTAAGCAATACGTGCTGTAAGATTGTCTAGTTTATGTAATAAGAGTAAAATTTAATAATTCAATAAATTAATAAATGCAAAAATAATTAAACTTATTTAAGCTTACGTTTAAAATCTGAAATTAATATAGACATGTTAAATGTTAGCTGCTGTTTTAGGAGACAACAGACACCTAATATGCAGGCGTGTTATTTATATACATGTATATTAATAAGATAAAAATTTTTTTTGAATTACCAAAAATATCTAAAACTCCTTTTTAGTTCAACTCATTAAACAAAATGTTATATGTTTTAATATGTTACATGTATTTAAATTATAAAGCCTAAACACTATATATACATATACATCGACACGTAGTATATTTTTCATTTTTGCAAACCGCAAACTCGTACAACGTTATTCAGTTATTTAAAAGCTTATTACAATTTTCAATAATAACATATAATTTCTTTTTCACATTTTTCTTTTTACTGTTACCGCCACTGTTATTTCCAGAATCAAGCACAGAAACATTTGTTCTTGTCTTACAACCAAGATTGTTGTGTAACAGCCACTTAATATTATACTATTCACATTAGTTTTCTTAATAGTTTTCTTTCAATATAATTGTGATGGCATTTTAAAGCAAAATATTCATTAAAATTTATCCTTTGTTGTTTCATATATATAAAATATGTACAACCTTATATGGCGTTGACACTGGCCGAAAATGGCTCATTTCGAATAAGCCATTTAAAAGTGTTTACATTCGTTTTAATTCAACTTGATATTTCAACTTGCCTGTTGATTTAATTTTTGGCATGAAGGTTAAATATAGGTACCTTCAAACGCATTTATACAGATCTCATTTGCGTTTGAGATTTTGTATGCAAAAATAAGTCATTTGCTTGATTTTTGACCAAAATGAGCCATTTGAGACCAGTGTAAATGCCGTATAAGGGTAGAAAAAAATTCAGCCAGTTATATTCCTATATAATAACTAATGATAAAATATCTAATTTATATGACCATAGCAATACCTAATTTCTATGAACTTAGAAATTTCTAATGTCTATGAAGATAGAAATATCTAATATCTATATTTGCATATATGTATTTCATAAAAATATATAAATATTATATTAAATTTGATTTTAATGTCAATATCACAGTAATGACAATTTTTACGCTAACAGAAACTGCGGTATTTATTACAGAGGTTTTGAAAAATAGTAAACTACAATAACAAATATGCTTTTCATATTATTTTAATTAACTGAATGTTTGCTGTTCGAATATTGCCAAATTCCCATCATCAGTGGTCGTGGAAATTATTTCTTATATTTAAGAATTTTTGCTGTTGTTGTTAATTGCTTTTCGAAACCTATAGAACGTTCCTAGATTTGGTTCTATACACAACAAAAAAAATAAACTCATGCAATAAATAATGCCTTTACAAAACAATAGTATTGAAATTTAAAAATTAAAAATATAATTGATTAATTGAATTAGTCTACAGCTGGTTTATGATTCCGTTGAAATATAACACAGAAAGTGAATTTGTTTATGTACTTTCACAACGAATTAACAAAAAACTCCATGTTCAAACATACAAGTCAAGATCGGCTTTGGGTCAGTTGCCTAATGAACACTGACACTAAGTTTCAAATTTGACGGGGCACGCATTCAACCCTTGGTACTTGTAATCATAAAAACAAATTATTTACATATAATTAAATATAAGAAACAATAACATAACCTCTGATGATAGGTATTTGGCAATACTCGAAACAGCTGCATGGTCAGATAAAAATATTAAATTAATTAAAATAATATAAAAAGAATTTTTGTTGTTATAGGGCACTACTTTTCGAGACCTTCCTATATAAATATAAGTTAAAATTATATTCAAAATAGAAAATATTTATTTATATCGTCAAATTTATTAGAAAAGAAAAATAAAGTGGAAATTTATTCGTTCATGCGAAATCGAAAGGGAAAGTAAATTTAGAGGTATATATTGTTTTGATGTAAGTTTAATTTTATAAATGAAAATTTATTTCCAAACATATATTACATTTATAGACAGATAACTTAATTGTTATTGTCTTAAATAATCTATAGTTATCAAGTTACATAATATTAAAATGATAAATAAGTTAAATGTTAAAATTACTGCTAATATGTTATATTTTAATAGTTATAAATAAAAGCACTTACTTGCTACTACTACAACTAAAAAAAAATAATTGTATTACTTTTAGAAAATTGGTTGCGATATACTAATCTCATTAGTTATTAATAATAAGTTATGTTAAGTTGATTTTTTATTAATTTCTTACGTTTAGTAAGTAGTAATTTATTTAATTTTATTACTTAAAATTTTTATTTTTATAATAACTATATTTTAAACTATAAATAAATTATTGTATGATTGATCTAAACAAAATCTTTTCATCCAGATATAAAAAATTACAAAAAATTTTCTTAACCTTGTTCTAGTTCGCCAAAAGATAATTTAATATTGAATTTTCTACTAAACATATTTTGTCATTACTACTAATGCTGTTTTCAAACCAAAACTGTTTATTCGCAAGCAATGTAATCGATACCTGCGACTTATTCGCACGAAAACCTAAATATTCATGCACACAAGAAAAAATTCACATGTAATTTAACGCACCCTAATGCTTAGAGGTCGTAAAGGTGAATTTTAATGAAAATCTTTCAACTTGGCAGTACTGTAACGAATTACACCACAGCACACTATTTTTAGAACAAATGAATTACATCCTTTTCCTCAAATGAATAATCGTTCATTTCATTTTTGGATTTCACGATGGGAGGTTGTGTTTTATCGAGTGGAGTAATGAATATAATACGTTTTAAAAACGTGAAAGTTTCTTGAAACGATTTTACGAATGAAAATATTGAAAACAAAGTTAAACTGCGTTATAAATATGAATAGTTTATGGAGGTCGCTGACATGCAAATGCCGTTGATGGTAAGACAAGAGTAGTTTGCTTATTTATATATATATATTTTTTTTATGATGCTAAACATACCGCCCCAGTCAGAATTATAATGAAGATTGGAATTTTAACTGAACAAAATAACTTTAAAAGACTTATTTATATATAAATGGATGTCTAATGTGAATTTTTCTTTCACTAGGTTATATAAAAACAGATATGACGATATACAATGAAGCTAAATAAATTTAGACATGTGGAATTTTAAAGGTGAGAAACACTGAAATATAAATTTATTAAGGTTTTCTTAAGACAAATTTTTATATAATACTATTATTTTACGTGTCGAAAATTTTAATCTAATATCTGATTGAGTTTTGTTTGCCAAATAATACGCTTAAATCAAAATGGCGGTCGCCATTCATGCCTCCACGTGTGTATATTTAAATAACTGAAGATAATGTGCATTGTATTATTTATATTAAAAGGCATTACAGACATTGATTATTTATTTATGGTGTGTTAAGAAAACCTAACTAATTTGTTAAATGATGCTAAATATATACCGCCCCAGGCGGAAGCATAATGACGATTGGAAATTTTACTGAATAAATTATAGTAATTTACATTATATTATATAAAAGATTTGGCTAAAAATTCCATTTTTATTTCAGGTAGTTTAAAGTTACGCTAGATATATCTGGAAGCCTCTAACAATATTAGAATGCACGCAGTTACATTGTAACTATGTATTATCCACTTTTGGGATCAACTGAAAGGATAAAATAGAATACCAGATCTTAATTATGGTACGTATCGCTTTTGAACAGAACCTTTTATATACTTTATATGATGATAATTTGTAGACAAGCATATGACTGAATTTATTATGTTGATAGATTTCACCTGACATACATATTATATATTATATTTAATTAAATTTAGTTATTTTCTTATAACAAAGTTTCTTTTTTTTTTTGTTTTAGGTTTAATTTCATTGTTTAACATCGTGGACATTTAAACAAAATTTGCTGGTAATAATTGTTTTTATACATGCATTTATAAATTTTTAGTATTATTAAATATTCATGATGATTTTATGTTATCCCTATCATAAGCATATTTGATGTTAATTAATATAACTGACTAAAAATGTGTAATTTAATTTATTATTTAAATTTATAAACAAATTAATAAATTTTTTACATTTTTTGTTTCAGGTTAATTTTTTTAAAATGATACAATAAATTAATAATATCCAAACAAAAACGTGTTTCTTTTTATTTTTGTGAATAGTCAATTAAGTGTGGTGAGAGAGAGAAAGAAAGGCTAGTCATTATTGTGAATAGTTGTAGTGCATTTTTTGACAGCTTATTTTTTTTCACATATGGTAATTCAACAAAATAATCTAGCTAGCTTGCCGGTTAAACATTTTTTGCTGCGCTTGGATAAAGTTTTTTCATTTAGTTAAAAAAGCATGGAGTTTACGTATTGTTTGCCCGACGGCGGATTAAGAACCGCTACTTATTTTGATAGTCTTGGGACAATTAAATTTGATCCACCTATTTATGAATTGCGTTACAGCACTGCTATTCGTGTAATTGAAGACGGCATATGGGGTGAAAAGTTTAAAAGTGTACGTGTGCTATAAAGTATTTCTTAAGAAAATTAATACATGTGGATTACAATGTTTGATTTTAAATTTTAGATTGTAGATTTTGGTTGCGCCGAAATGGCTCTATTTCCATTGTTGCGGCGATGCAGTGATTTAGAGCGCATTCTAGAGGTAAGTGGTATCAGTCTACGATTCATCTTAAACAATTTAATGTTCTAAGTTCTGCTTTACACGAGAGTGAAGTAAAAATTTTGAACCTTTTTTATAAGTGAAAATGTTAGAGCTTAAATAAATATTATTAATTAGCAAATAAGGTTCAATTACTATTTTAAAACAAATAGTGTGTAAAGTGTCCCGTATTATACCAGGTTTTTTTTTAATAAAACTACTTTTTTGTAGTTTTGATTTGTACGGTAAATTTTTTGAGTAATACAATTGTAATATATTTTTAATAGTAATGAAAATTATAAATGAATTTATTGACGTTTTTAATAGCTATATTTGATAATTCTAATATTATTCTTTGTTCTGTTTTCTATCCAAATCTGTTCGCCTTTTATATATTATAAATGATTGGAATTTCCTTAGATTGCAAATATATATGTTAACTTATCTGAATGTATTAGTTACATTGTTCGTTGAAGGTCAATATGTTAATTATTTCAAAGCGAAATTTTTTCCTTGGTCATAATATAATTTTATAATAAGTTTCGCCAATACGACTGTAATCTATCACCTTCACATTTCACCATTTACTAGCAACTCCTGATACTGTTTCTTGTTCTCTTCAATATGATGATATATATTCGTGGCTGAATTTTCTAATAGTATATTGACAAAACGCCATCGATTACCATTCCTAAATTATTTTTTCTTGATATTCATTTTATATACTAGAGATATCACAGGATAATATATGTTCACATCGTCGCCAGCTGTTACTTATAAAAAATGTGTTATTTTCTAAAAATTAAAGAAAATTAGAATTAAAAAGGCGGTGTGATTAAAGTCCTAAAGTCACTAATACCGTCTATCAATTTTATAGTTGTTTCTTTAACTGCAATTTTTCAACTGTTTGTTAGAATAATAAAACTCAAACAAGTGCTTACACGACTTATATTCAGATGCTGTTGGATTTCACAAGTTGCTACACACAAGTGTAGTTACAAAATTAGTATAAAATAGATTGTTACAATGATTTAACATACCATCCATGGAGTTTTAAAGTTTTTCAATTTATCTTTAACACATACACAACCTGTTCCTTTGAAGTTTTACCATTTAAGCCGTGTGCGAGTTCGAGTAAATTGAGGTAAAGTAAATTGAAATTTCCTATGGCTTTTTTGCACTACACTAATGTAAATATTTACTTATTGCATTTATTTATTATTTTTGGTAAAAAGATTTCAAATTTATTTATTAAACATCTCATAAAATTTTCACAATGGTAACACCTAATTTCCCTAATTTTTATCTAATGTACCCTACACAAAATTCTGGTAAATACCAACATTCTCTGCCATACCGACATAATTTATTATTTCCCTCAATTTACTCGAACTCGCACACGACCTTAATAAATTTTAAATAATTGTAAGTCTGTAATAACAGTGTTTTAAAATAAATATGTACTCAGTGTGATATATGTATTATAATTCTAAATGATTTTATGTAATAGTTGGTTAGTTTTAGAGGTGATGGAGCTTCTGACCAACTACCACGTAGCACTTCTGTGTTGTTACCGGATAAAGATGATACAAACTTTCGCAGTTGATTAAGTATTGTTTTTGAATCATCTGAATTTGATATGTTCCCCAGTATCGTTTAGTTTAAGATATGTCTTAATCTTGCCATGTCTTTAAATTTACATAGGAAGTGTTTACTTGTTTCTTTCTCCTTCTTCTCTCATTAAAAATTCTACATTTCTTGTTAATGGGGATATCTAATTTTTGGGTAAATATGCCCATTGATCAATGACCTTTCAGTATGGTCTTGAGCTTTGCCACTTCGATTCTATCCTTGCCCAATACCGATTAAATGTAAGCGTGTTTATGTCAATATTGAATTTTCCAATGTCATCAAATAGTATTTCATAACAACGCAATGCTTATTTATACACTATTTAAACCTCTGTAAAGTTGGCATTGAAAGAATTTTTATCGAACATATAAAAATAAAATACTTTTATATATAAAACTTTATTGCTTTTTTTGGATATTTAATGTATATATTTTGCATATGCTAAAAATATTTAAACTTATTTGCTAATTCAATATAAAAGCTTATATATAAACATAATGATTTTGAGGAATCTTTTCTACTTCATATTTTTAAATAAATATTACTATTTCTATGACGGCGATCATTAGTAATTTCATAACGACTATAGATTTATATAAGAACATATAATCACAATAAAACAAAAACTAAACACAAAGTAGACATAAAGTTGCCTATTAACATAAACAAAAAAAAAACTTGACTAAGTGCTAAAAGTATTTTGAAAGATAGTAGTTTTGAACATTAAAATTAGCCCAACTAAGTTCAAATAATAACCAAGTAAACAATATAACTAAATATTAGTAAACAATACTCTAATTTATTTACTAGGAGGTCGCTAGTTAAATATTTTTATTACGTATACGCGATTTTAAATATTCCGAATTTGTATTTCCTATGAATATCGGTATCCGTTTGATTTATTATTTATTCCTAATTAAAGTTTCTGCGGTAAAGTTCCATTGTTTTCACAATCAATTATTAAGCATTAATGTACTAAAAATTGGTTAATTGTGAATACTTTTTCGATACATACTACTTATTTTAATTAATAATAATAATAAAACTTAAAAGCTAAATAACTTTAGTTTTTTTTACATGGTAAGCAATTTTTACAATGTTTTTGCATAAATTGAAGTTGCATTTTCTTTTTCTTGCTAATGTTATGCAGTACAGAGAATTGGTTTTTTTGTTCTGCGCGCTGCTGTGCCATATGTTTTGAAATATATATTTTCGCTGTTGTAATTGTTCCCCCACATTTTATATATATTTTTAAAATTTGTGGTCATTTCTCCTTCTACGTCTTCAGTCTTGTTAATACAACGGCGAGTGCGGCGGTCGCTAACAACATTCTTACTTTTCATCTCACATCCACGATCTCGACTATTATCTAAAGACTTAAGTAGATGGTGTTCTATTTCTCCGGCGGCTGAAGCAGCTTGAACGCCGTTCGTAATTGTTAACTTACGTGTTGTCCGTATGACAGTGCCACGATTTTTATTTGATTCAGTTACTGTTACTGTTGATAATTTCATTATCTGCTCTTTATTTCTGCGTGTTCTTGTTATTAATCTAGAATTTGTTTGCCTCTCTGTTGTTTTTTGTACGATCGCCGTATCTATTTTATTTGCTCTTGCTTGTTTATATCGGCGAGTACGTTGTGTTGGTATCGTGCTGCATTCGGAAACTTCTGTCGTATCGGATTCTTCATCTGTTCCGGTTTCGACTACTTCCTCGCCATTTTCTTCCTCAGAACAACTTTCCTCATTGCTTCCTGTTTCGTAATCATTCTATACATAATAAAATTAATACATTAAATTATATTTTATGAAACTCAAACTATAAACATTTAATTACTTGTTGTTCATCGTCATCTAGGTCTTCATCTTCATTAACTTCCTCATCCACATCTTGTTCCTGATCCATGTCACTTTCTTCTTCTTCTATATCACTTTCAACGGTGCGACACCTTGCTTTAATACGTTCTTCTATTTCTAAAATAGCATAGGTTGGGTTACCTTTATATTTACGCATTATTGGTTGTTGCCCTTCACTCATTTCATCTTCACGATCAAACTCTTTTTCAGCTCGTTCACGTGCAATTTGGTCTGGATCTTGAGATAATACTTCTGCCCAAGAAAACTTTTTCTTTTTTATTGATTTTTTATCAGATTTAGAGCGAAGATTTTTTGGTGATACTCTATTACCAGGCGTTCGTTCAGCTAATGGTGTACCATCTGGTAGCCTGCGCATGATATTAAGTGCATTATATTTGCTAAGATCAACAATATCGTGTTTGTTTTCAATTTCATCCTTGACCCGCACAGCACTTTGTACAATTTCACTGCTATTTAAACGCATATCAGCAACTGAATAACCAAGTAGTTCATATTCATGCTGAAAAATACGTCGGTATCGTGCATAATCTGGGCGTTCGTGATATGCTAGCTGATTGATATGATGCAAAAATTCTCCCAAATACTTAGGAACTTGTTTGCCATATATTTGTTTAAGCATTTCACGTACATTTGTCATCAAGTATTCTTTAGCACGGTGTACTGTCTCTTGCTGCTGCTGTGAAGCAGCCTCCTTCCATGGCAAATAACCTTGTGACCAATATATTAAGTTAAATCCAAGGCACTCAAGATCGCTGCGACGGGAATGTGCACCCATATGAGCATCACGTGATGTAAACTCAAGTGTGCCATCATGAGCGCGACGTTGATCCATAATAAACGGACGATGCATGCCATTGTCCATAAACTTTGAAGCAAGTCCATAATCAATTAGGAAGACAAATTCTTCTTCGACAACATCATTAAATACTGTTTCGGATATATTATTATTTTTACGACTATCATAAGACTCCTGGTTTGTTTTTGATTTAACAGCCATAAGTTTTTCTTGTCGACGGGTAAGGCGCTTAATTGGAGAGGTAGTTGTTAGTGATTTCTTAGGTGTACGACGTAAAGTATGTGGGACAAACTCTTCGGATTCATCATCTGAAGTAACAGCATGGAGATGATCTTTATCTCCCATTACTGATAACCCATCTTCGTTGAAAAATTCCGAATAACTAACACGTTTTGTTGGGCGCAGGTAATGTGACGTAACCATTTCATCGTATATGGTATTCTGATTTTGACGCCGACATGAACGCACCTACAATATTGTAAAAATAAATATACTAAATATGAATTACAAACATTTTTATTACCGGATTTGAGCCGCTAAATTCAACAACATTATTACGACCACGACGTTTGCGATTCCTATTGACTGGTGTCTGAAAATTATCCATACTACTACTATTCATACTGTTACTTGTCTCATCGGCAAAATATTCACTGTCATCTCGATTATTGTACGTTTTACTTTTGGTATTATATTCTATATTTTCATCCGTTTCCTGTTCTGTACTGTTGCCACTGTCTGTTGATGGTAATTTGTCCTCATAATGGTAATCATATTTTGATTTAATTTTGGTGTTAGTTGTATTTGTATTTGTATTTACACAGCGACGTTTAACATATTTACATTTAGATATCATTAGGTTTTGGGCCTTAATATCATTATGACAATAACCTTTATCATGCAGATTTTCGAGAATGCGTAGTATTTGAATGGCTAGTGTTAATAATGATTTTTCGTTAATTCGACAGTTCTTTATGAGTGAATGCAAATCACGATCAAAACGTTGCAAAACCAAAAATCTATAGCGTGCATTATTAAAATAATGTGATCCCGACGCTATATAGTCAGGTATGCCGGATGGTGGCTTATCTGGTATAATAGATTTTTTGTCCTCAAAATTTTCAGCTGCAAAGTGAATTATGATTTTTGTTAAATATTCTTATTAAGTACGTTTATAATTGCTTACAATCCTTTTTGGCAGTGTTTAACAGGCAATGTATTTCCACAAATAGAGGCCCATTAGAATGCGGTTCCACTTTTACCACATATTTAGCATTATCATTTGTTACTGGACAATTCACTACATTTGATGCTAGAAATATTTCACCAAAATTTCCTTTACCTGTAAATTTTAATAATGATTAATTAATTACTTAAATATAAATAAAAATAAAAATAAAATTAACATAACAAAAACATTGTTTAATAGAAGAAGAAAAAAATGACAATAGTCGTCGTCTTGTCTTAGGCGTTTATACTCAAAGTTGTATTGCCCATGACATCATTATTTATTTATACATATTACTTGCCTATTGGTCGGCCCAAACGCCATTGCTTGCGATTTAAGTCAAAAAGTATGGTTCCATTAACTACAGATGGACGCAAGGTGTAAACTGGCTTAGGAGACTCAATGGATAATGCATTGTCACCAGTATTTGATAATGGTGTGTGTATTAGGATAGATGAAATGTTAGCTTGTTTGCTGGACTGGTTACGTTGAGGCAAGGTTGTGGTATCATTAGACGAAGAGTCTTCATCATCATTCTCGTGCCAACCATCATGATTTGTTGTTTTAAAACGTAAACTCTTTTTTGCAGCAGGTGCGGCACCAGAAATTTTCTTTCGTTTTCTAATGGTACGTGCTTGAAGTGGCGTTACATATTGCGACTCAGTTGGAAGTGCAACACTCCTGCCCATGTTCCGTAGATACAGTTGATAAACGATATGAAGTTAGTTATCACTTCAAATCGTTCACTTATTTTAATCAACTATACTCAAATAAAAACGTATTAATCAAGCCAAAGTAGTTGACGTAAATAATTGAATTTTCTTTTAGAATTTTCACTGCTTTTTTCTCGAAAAATTCAACTTGAAGTGTTTTTATATTCAGTCTCTTCATTAAGTTGAGGAACGATTTTTTCTGACGTTTCCAATTCTTGCTGCTTTTGTAGCTTCTTTGTGTCAGGCCAATCCGCTTTATCACATTTTATATTTTGTGTTTTTGTTCCCTTCTTTTATACGCTATTGATGCCAATATTCGGTTATTATGAAATTTCACATGAAAAGAAAGAATAAAATAGTTAATATTGTTGTTGCTGTTATTGTTGTTGTTGTTACGTCTTGTTAAATATTTATGCATGTCAGCGAACAAAAATTGCACTGGTGTGAACTGACCCGACGGTCGAATACTTAAAACAAACCGGTTTAATAATATAAATGGCAATTTGTGTAAATTTCGCGTTTGTATCCAGAAAAATTTTAAAGAAATTCAATATTCATACGTAGTAATAAATATATACAATTCTATTAATACAAATTTAACATAACTGCAACTAAAATTGTTTAATACTGAATTAAATTTGTTTTATGGTTTGTGTTTGTTTATTTTTTAATTCATATTCTTTTTATTAAATTACTTTTTTGAATATTTACTTCAGCTGTTATTAGCCGTTTTCTCAAATGACTTGTAATATTTGCTATTTTCATAAATTAATAAATGCATTTTTTAGTGTTGATAATTTAAGACTTCATAAATAAATAGAAAAGTTTTTTAAATTACAATGGAAAAAAAATTTATTAGCATTTTGTGTATTGTATGTTACTTCATGCCTTTAAAAACATACAAATCTCATGGCTGCGGATTTTAATTCCCCTTTACTTTTAACATTTTACACAGAAACATGCGTTTTGCTGATACACAACCCTAAGAAACAAACATACACATATGCGACATACATATTTGCCGACAAATAAACCATTCCTCTCGTACTTCCCTTAATAAAATACAACGAAAGCGAATGAAACCAAAGCATAAAAATAATAAATAATTGACTAACTTTTCGTTGAATATTTTATGTAATTATAGCGACTTGTTTTATTAGTAGATTAAAAAGTACAAGTAGAAAAAGTATTAAAAAATTGCTCGTTATTTCAAACATATTTGTATAGCTGCACATGAAAGATAAGAGAAACGTACAAAAAAAAATAAAAACACTAAAAATTCCCAACAACAATATTAGTAAGCAACATTTGGACAGACGGAAAAAGAGCAGAAGCAACATTGTTTGGTCGGTCACACCAAAATAAAAATAATAAAATAAAAAAAACTAACAGAAACAAAAATTTTAATGTGTCGGTTTGCGCATACGTCGACGTTACGCGTTCGCTGCTGACGGCAATTCATTTCTTTTCCCCCACCGCATTTGAAACAAAAATTGAAAATCGATGCACCAATAAAACGATTTTTATCAATTTAACTGTTCCACTTAAAAGAATCTAATTTTTATTAAAGAAAATAACATTCATCATATAATTTACTTAATTTCATTAAAAAAAAAAATACAAAATGCATTCACACCGTATTTTCTTAACAATTTACACAGTTTTAATTTGCTTACTGCCTGCCCTAGCGTTAAATGATTTTTACTTTAAGTCACTTTTGTATGCTCACGTACACAATCAATTTCTAATATATTTTATTATCTTCAGTGTTATATTTTATTGATTTGTTTTTAAAAATATCTTCAAATATTTTATATCACTAAACTTTTTGACATAATAACTTTTTTAATATAAAAATTTCAAGCGAAAATGAATGAAACTTACTTAGTTACAATCTTTCCTCATTTAGCTCTTTTATCGCTTCTTCTTTTGACCGTTCCATATTATGTTGTATTTAACTTCTTTATGCCACCATCTTTGATTTGTTTGAAAAACACACCTCATCTGTTTGTATTATTGTGAATGCAATCCATTCACAATATTCACACAGTTGGTTTGTGCTACCAAACTTGCTTTTTAACATAAAATATATTTTATGTTTATTGATCATAGTTTTATATTTATAATAGAAAGTTTTACAAAAGGTGCTTTCGGCAGCTATGTGTGGTAAAAAACAGTAAGTTATTGGCCTACAGGCGTTAAGCGGGACATTGGTATCACTGTTGTAATCTGTCAAATGTTATATGTTAGCAAACAGCAAATGTTGCATATGTGCATATAAGCAAGCAAATAACATTTTGTATAAAAATAAATAATTATTATAAAATTGAAAATTTTAAAATTTAAATATTTGAAGCGCTTCTCACTTACAATTTTTCCATGTACTGTACTTCTATAAATTTTTGTATACATTTATATGCAATTTTTTAAAATATTTCTTATTCACAATTTTGGATATTTTTTAAATTCTTCATTTTCAAATTTTTGTGACTTTTCTGTAATGAATATTTTTTATTGAATTTTTGTTTACAATGTTTCAACATATTATTGGAATGTCAATTAATGTTAATTTGTTTCAACCAATTTTTATGACTCTGAAAAAAAAATTACTGCTACTGTAGAATATTGCTATTTGCCAAACATAACACTTGCCAGATTGCAACAGTGATGCCAATATCTCGTTTAGTGCATATAGGTCAGCATGCGTTTTTTGTAACACTTGCAAGCCACCGAAAACATTTAATACGAAATATAAATATTGTGAGTACTAAAAATGAAATAATTTAAATAAAATAAAATAATATGAATAATAGAAGGGTTAAGGTAAGTATTTTTTATCGATTTTTATCGTATTATAACTAATGTATCAGCATTGATATCTGTTAAGTATTATATTCGATTTGTAAAATTTATTGTATAGCGTAACAATCTTTGTTCATTTACATAAATTTAATTTTCTTCAATTGTTTAGCTTTTGTTATTTATTCAAAAAAACGTTCACAATAAACTGAATTAATAGTTGGTAACGCTGAACAATATGTGTGACAAAATTATGTCCTGAAAATTTTTTCAGTTATAATTATTATATATACAAATATTGCAAACAAGTTTTTATTTATAACTAAGCGAATTTGAATAAATAATAAAAAAAAAAATTATAATTATTATTTGACTGGTTTTTTTTTATATCTAGAGTTCGATTTGAAAAATTATACAATAGACAATTTTTAACTGCATTCATGATTTCTTATTTATATATATGTATATATATATGCTGTCTGATATTATTTTTAAAAATATTAAAACAAATATGAATAATATTAATCATTTTAAATAAATAAATAGTTCCATAATATTAATAATTCTGAATAAATAAATAGTTCCATTAAGTAGACTTTTTATATTTCACAATCTTCATTGTATTAACATTACAGGTAGATATCGATGAAACCCTACTCAAGACGTCATTACATAAAACGGAACCATTAATATCTGATCATCTTCAAAAACGCAAACATCCTCTGAAAGTAGAAGTTTACAAAGGCAGTGTTGTGGATTCAGTAGACTACATAAAAAATATTGAAGTTGTATTGGCGCTAGAACTGTAAGATATATTGATTTATGAATTATGAATATACACCACAAATATTAAAAAATTTATTATTAAAATTTTTAATTTTATAGAATTGAACATCTTCACAGTGATGTTTTGGATAAGCTACCAAACAACGTTTTTGGTTTTATGCAACCAAAACTAGCAATCTTTTCAACCCCAAATGCCGAGTTTAATATTCTTTTTGATTCACTACTTCCTAATGGTTTTCGTCATTTAGATCATAAATTCGAATGGACACGTAAAGAATTTCAGAGTTGGGCTTTCAATATTTGCGAATTATATAAAAATTATAAAGTAGCATTTATCGGAGTTGGTAAAGCGCCTCCCGATCATAAAAAAATAGGATATGTTACACAATTCGCTATATTTGCACGGAAAGATATTTTAAATGAACCATTATTCAGTCCTATTCAAAGTTTTGAAGATGATAAATTTGATAACAATCAATATAAGCAACTGCGCACGGTTAACTATCCATTCAATGAAGACAGTCGTAGTAAAGAGGAAAAAATACTGAATGAAGTGGAATACCATGTTAATCGTTGCAAACGGATCGATCGCTTTTATAATAGAGAAAAGGAAATATATCAAATTCCAATATCATTAATACTGTCTCATATCGAACATTTGGATGGTACAGAAAATGAATTACTTCATATATTATCGTCAAATAATTATAAAGTTGAAAACGATTTTATTTACTGCGAAGATGATAGTTTATGTTTTCATGAAGAAGCTGGATATGGTGAAAGTGTTTCTGATGATGATAATTTTTCTGACATCCCAAATCATGATGTAACTGATGATTATGAAGAAAATTGGGATTAAAAACGAAATTGCATTTATTGTCTTGTTTTTTTTTTAAATAATATTAATTCAATAAAACTATTTATGTTGACAAAAGTCAAGATTTTTAACTTATTTTTACTAATAGCCAGTACCGGCATGACATGGAGAGATTACATTTTCAATTTATAGAAAGTTACATACAATTAAATCATACTTTTTATCAGTTTAGTTTTTCAGTTTTTACATATCCTTTACGATGTTATGAATATAGAGTATGTTCATTTTGCTACTATATTTGTAATACAGGCTGACTTTAAGAAGGTAACGTCTGTTTGTAAACCGTTTGTAAAATTAAAACTCAATAGCTGAGTTTTTATATATAACTTTTTATATAGACTTTTAATGAATTAAAACAGATTAAAATACATCAATAAATACAATTGGTATCATATAGTGATCTGAAAAGAATACTATTAAAGATTTGGCAAGATCCAACTTAGCACACTTTTTTGTTTCTGTGATCACTTTTATATTATTGATTAAGCGTTGTAAAACAGCGTTTAGATTATCAGAATTAATTCGACAAATATGCAGTTTTATTTTTCTTTCGTAATAAATTCATACAAATATTTGTATCGAGTTTCTATAATTATAAGTGTAAACTTGGTATAACACATAATTGATATTCTTTGACAGAGTAGTGCATGAATGTTTTATTTTTTACAGCGGCTCATAATGTAAAAACGTAACAGCGGCTAAACTTCTTTTAAAACATTTTTTGCAAAAATCCTTAAGTGCCCTACAGACGGCAAACGTCGGTAAGTGTTGGTCTTCTATAGCCAAACAAGTTGGCTATAGAAGACAGATATGGTTAACTGCTTACTTACATCTGTTTACTCTGTTTACTGTTTACATATATATATATATGTACATTTGAAAATATTGACAGGAACTCATCAAGAAACAAATAAAAATTTCTTTTTGTAACATATAATAATGTATAACAATAATGTATAATAAAAGTAATTATAATATATGAATGTGTATTTGATAATAAACTTTTAAAAGTTTATTATTAAATGTGTTTTCACTGTTTTTATCACATTTTAAAGCATTTATTGAAAAAACAAGTGATTACTATATGAAATGATAATAACCCACATGATATATTTTTTAGTAATATTATATTTAACTTCCTTAGAGCGAATTTTAAGGTTTAATTTTGCTCTTCTATGGTAGATGTTTAATCGTTTTTTTCTATTATTTTCAAAGCATTGCCTTTATATTCTTTAATTCCTATTAAGTTACAAATTGTGTATATGTAAATTTTAATACGTATCTACAACTTCTCGAGTGTTTATTCGTATCATTTCTTCTTTAGCCTCGCAGAAATATAAGATATTCGAATTACGAAGTGTTTGCTAATTAATTAATTAAATTAAACAATTTATTTGTTATATTTTTTTATTAAAAATCTTAATGTATTCTCAATTCGGTACAAACATCATAGCATAATTAAGCAATTGTATAATTACGGTATCAACCGTCAAGTTTTAGGGATTAATGACCCATGGCATACGAAAGTAGGCAATCAGAATGAAACAGATTTTTAAAACAGTTTCTGTGTTTTATTAAATTTCTTAGTTAAATTCTGTTAATCTTCAAACATTTTTTAAATATCAGTACGAAAATTTTACCCAACTACTTTCTGTATGTCCTACAACTGTCATGGAGCTAATTTATTCTAATCTAGTTTTCATTGAACCATTTTATATCTGAAAACCATATTGTAAAGTTTATCAAGCTTTGAATATTTTTCAGGGAATAACGCAGTAGATCTTACAGATCGTAATACCACAGTTCTTTTCTTGATAATAATTTAAATAAAGATTTAAACAGTCTGCTATTTCTATTGAGACTTAAAATTACCATTAAGGTTAACTTTAAAAAAGCAAACTTGATTTAAGTAACTTTTAAATGTTCTAAAATTTTAGGTACCTCTGAAAATGTTGGCATATACTAATATATTTGATTTGTATTCCAAAAAAAGACCAGATTAACCTAAAAATGTCTATTTATTAAATATTTTATCATTTGAAGTATAAAATCGTTGGTGAATAATTGAACAAAATTTTTGGTTTAAAGTGATTTTATTTCCTTACGTATTAAATATAATATTTGACAATTTAGCGACACCGGCTTTAACTAATTGGTCGGGTCCTGGATGCTACTATACTTCTATCCTTCTTATTTTAATGTCAATTCAAGTGGATGAAGTCAATTGATGTATGCAAAAATGATTTTGAACGTTTGTGTTGCGTTTATGAGCTTCAAATGTTATTCAATTTTATATAAAGAGGGTTGAATTGTTGATTTGCAAAGGAGACAGCTCATAAGACTGTAGACAGACAGGCACCCAATTGTTACTTTTTCTTTTAACCATCATTATATCTATTTTATACAGCATTCACGAAGTAGAAAATTATGACACATAAGTGTCATAAGTGCTCTGCGAAAGTAATAGTTTCGAAAGGGTTCCGTAAAGATGAGTTGAAGACATATTATATTATTTTACAATTTGAATATTTTTTTAAATTATTAATAATTTAAGAAAGGCGCAAAAAACTCAAACTATTCAAGAGTTTTTAAAAAAATGTGATGTAATTGAAAGTGGAACCCTACTCTTTTCCTTGAGTTCCATGGTTCGCCATTTCACTATTTTAACCCGGTTTAATAGTTAAAGGATATAAATTTAAGGAAACGGAAACGCATGCGCGATTTTTTATACAAGATGTTGCAAATAAAACTTCTTTTTAAAAATCAGTTTGTTTGTGGACATAAATTATGGAGGATAATTGAGCAAACCGACAACACAACGCACATGAAAAAAAAGAAAAACATTCAAAAATATTTTGATATTTTTATGTTAATATTCTACTGTCAAAGAAAATTTCGAAATTATTTTGTTGTAAATTAAAATACAATAAAAAATTACATTAGTTATTAAAATTTAAAGTTGTAAAAACTATGGCTGAAGACACTGGCAATGCAGATAAGGAAACAGACAAGAAAATAGTTCATGTGTATCCCTTAGTTAAGGTTCTGAAATTACGAAGATATACTTAATCTTATATGTTATTTATATTATTGTTATTGTTTTTACTTATAGTATTCAGATATGAATGAAGAAATGCGCACGGAGGCAATTGAGCTAAGCATTACTGCATGTGAGAAGTACTCATCGAACTATGAGGTAAGTGCGAAAATATTCAAACTCTTTCAGGCTTCATCTTTCTTACAAAACTAAAAAAAAAACATATTTCAGCAAGCTGCTCGAATTATTAAAGAAGCAATGGATAAGAAATTCGGTATTTACTGGCATGCTATAGTTGGAGAGGGCTTCGGTTTTGAAGTCTCATATGAAACGAAAAATATTTTGTATCTTTTCTTTGGAGGTAATCTTGCCGTTGTACTGTGGAAATGTTCATGATATATTTGCTGCCATCTGCTTACCTTGTGTATTGAACGTTTACATTATAAGCCAAATAATTCAAACAACATCGATTTATTAAAAATAATAATTTTGCAACAAATTTAAGTACCTAAATTGTGTGAAATCAAATACAAAATCACATTTACATTATAAAAAACTTTAAAGGAACTTGTGTGTGCTTCATAGCTGAACATTTTTTTATTTTAAAATTTATTGTATCTATGAATTATTTTTATAACATTTTACAGCTCAAATAAATATGTATTAATATATATAAAAATTTGCGTATTGTACATTGACACAATTTCTGAAACATAAAAAAAATATATGAAAAACCATGGCAATATTGAATAATTGCAAAATGTGATGTTTAATCGATGTAAAGCTCCCTACTTGGATCTCAAACACTTTCTTGCAAGTATTATTATGTTGTGGTGATTATTGTTACATCATAAGACAAGTCTAAAAAAGCGATATCTAAGGAAATGGATATATATATAAGCCCCTATTAGATGAATAAAACTCCAAACTAAAAGATTCTTATGTATATGCATATTATGATATCAATTTATTTGTTTAAATCTAATATAGGTAGCAAGCTTCTTTAACCTATCCTTTACACTTACTCATAAGTTTTACCAAACTACAACAATGTAACAACCACACCGTTATTGTTAATAGCAATGTAGGTTCCACATCAAACCCATCAAAGACGGTAGAGCAACGTTACTGTTCGGTCTTTTAAGAGCTTGTGTTATCTCGTCCCATCTATATGAGATCAGTATGAGATATAGTTTTTAGCTACCGGATACGCAAGATTCGGCTATAACATTAATGAAAGTTTCTGTTTGTCTGAATTGCTTATCCATGCTTATCCGAATCTCAGAATGGATACAGGGGATGTATGCACATCTGAGGTCAGTTATTGCTTAGTCTGATGAAGTGATAAACAATAATCAATTTAAGGCGTAAAGAAGAAAAGGTTATGAAGCAACCTCGTAGTTAATAGAGAGTAAAAGTGCTCCAGTGCACTGACTGAACTAGCCTCAATATAATAATAATATTTATATACAGATTTAATTATAGCATTAATCAATTAATTTATTATTCCAATTATTATTTAAACAATTAAGTTTATGATAACAATATTTTATTTAGTTTAAAAAAATAGTTTACTTCCAAAAATAAGTTTATACGAAACTATTTGAATTTCAAAAATGGTAGGGTTTTTGTTATAACACATCAGATTTTTAAAATGCTTACTGAATACATTTTTAATTTGACTGCAATATTTGATTAAATGTCAAAAAAATGTCAGAATCCTAAAATTTATAAACTAAACTATTTCTTATTCTAATTTGATAATCTTAATCTAAGTTTAAAGTGACTTTTTTATTAGAAGAAAATAAAACACATCAATTCAAATTAAAAATTAAAACACACATTAAATACTTAAGCATATACATCCTCCCTATCTGCGCCTGCACCATCACCACCATCTTCTAAGTTAGAGAATAAGAGGAAATGAGATGGGCGATGAACTTCATGATAGAATTCTTTTGGATTTGCTAATTGTAATTCATACTTCATATTTGCGTCATGACGTACACCCATGAAATTATAATTCCAGCTGCCCTGTGCAGGCACCATAAAGAACCCAAGAAATTTGTTTGATAACAACATTTGTACTCGTTCATAATGTGACGGTAAATAACCTTTGGGATTGTTGCCCTTGTCGGTGTTTTTAGAGCCCCACTCAAAACCAGAAGGTGTTAGTTTGTAAGCTGTTAGCGAACAAGAACCCGGTGTAAATGAGCAAGTGATGACAATTGTTTTTTCACCGTCCCACGTAGAATTTTCTTGCATAATTTTAGCATGTGTTGTTATATCTTGCGGTGATAATTGTGGCAATTCATTTGGTTGAGTATGTATCCAACCTAATGGTTCCATATCTTTGAGGTATTGATGGGTTGGTAACGTGTTTGGCAGATTGATCGTTTGGTGCGTACCCCATTGTGGTGGCATGACAATGCAGCGTATTTCTTTTACCTGAAATCATACATACAGTTTCATTTTAGTTATAAAAAAATAAAAATATAAATTTTTATACCTGAGGATTATCTGGTGGACTGACGCCATACAAATATCCCGCAATCTGTGCACGCAAATCCGATATAGTAACAAACTTTTTCAGTATGTTCTTTGGTAATATATACGTATATCCAGTTTCCTTAATGTCATCTGAGCTCACGTAGATATGATTCGTACGCAAGTGTAAATTTGTTGCTGAAATAGCACGTACGCGCCATTCTGTTTTGGAGCTGAAAGTTTGCGTTTCATAATTGGATGTAGTTGAGGTAATAATTTCATCGCCATGTTTATTCGTCGTTCTCGTAGTAGTTGCAGTCAATTGGTTTTGTTCCTTTGTTTGTTTTTCAATTTCAGCAATTTGCTGACGCTGGGCTGAGGGCGCGCTGATTTCCATACCAAGTATTATATCACGGATTTCAGATTGCGTCAGTGAGGCCACGTTAACATTATTCTTTTTACCGTAATCAGCAAGAATTAAATCTTTAAGTTGAACTTCAACTTTTATCCATTCTTCATCGGTTAACGTTGGCCAAATATGATGTGCCTCGGTTATTGTCGTTTTGTCTGGCTTTAATATGATTTTCGTACGTTCAGTATTAACATGAAGTGCGCGCAATATCAAAATTAAACGACTGAAAGCAGTGTATGAGGATATGGTTTTAAGCCAATCATCATATAAATTGAACAAAACCATTTGAGGTTCAGTAGCTTTAAGTATAAGATCACCGAATTTCTCCACTTTAAGACAAGCCTGTAAAATAAAAAGTTAAATAACTTTTTTCAATAAATTTTAATAAGACACTTACCTGGAATGGTAATTGAAGTTCAGAACCTTTAATTACAATATTCGGAAAATCTAATAAATGAACTTCAAGTGGATCCAACATGCCTTTACGTGTCACGATAATTTGCTTTGGTTGTTCTTCTACGGGCAGTGAACGAATCAAAGCAGCAACTTCTTCAGCTGTTTTCCATTTTGCCAACTGGCCTAAACGTTTTTGGCCAGCCCATACCGATGTATGAATAATTTTCAAAAACAGTTGACCCGTACGTGGATTAAAAATGAAAATTGCTCCATTAATGGGTTTCGTTGTTAAATTACCTTCAAACGTCTTGTGAATAGTTACGCGGTATACATTTGTATCATCAACGAACCAAATAATTTGGTTTGAGAAGAGTTCACCATAATTTTGTGAACTCAAATAAGGTTCAGTGGGTTCTGAAGAATACAATTGCAATGCTTTGCGTATACGTTCACGTAGTACATACAAAGCTGGATTCGCTTTCATTATTTTGGCCATCGCTTGTTGTATAAGTGTTTTACAACCTGGGAACCAATTGCCATAAGCTGAATGCAAATTATATGCTAAATCAATGGCAATTAGTACACCTGTAGGCGATGGATAAATTGACATATTATCTGTTGTATAGTCAAGAAATTTGGCACGTGCATACCGTTCCACGTCATGGGAATCATAATCACCCCAACGTAGCTGTATATCCAGCCAATATTTTTGTGTGGTTGTATTATCCATGGTATCTTTAGAATCTGCTAGCAGTGAAGGTCTTGAAACATTCCACTTATAGGCTGGGAAAAGCAAAATATCCGCACATGATGAATTCATTTTATACGATTTACGCGGATGAATTGTTTCCTTTTGTACTGTTTCAATTTCAAGTGCATCTAATTCTTGATCAAAAACCTGACACAAATCCATAACAATAGATTCATGAATTTTTTGCCATAAATGTGCACGAAATATTTGAATAAGCGAAATTTTTAATGTGGGAATTTTACCGTGCATAAAAATACCAGTTAAATCCAGTTGTACCTGAAAACCGACATAGACATTAGCACGGTTGATTGTGGGCGACCACCAAAGTGTAAAACGGCGATTGGGAATTTGATTCAAACCAGAACGTTGTGCATTAGTCAATTTTTTGTATTTCATAGATTCTTCAAATCCAGAAGCCTTTTCCCAGAATAAACCTTCCCATGTTGGGAAATATGTACCCTTAAAGAGTGTATGTTCCAATATACCTTCCACGCCTCCTAGCGCTTGTATCATATCAGTACGATAATTATTCAAATTCCACAATTTTCCGTCATGGCGCTGATGGGTCCACCAGAAAGGATTTTGTTTAAGTACTTGATATTGTTTAAATTCAGTACGTATACGCCAACCTTTATCGTAAGCTAGAGTATGTCGATCTTTTTGGAAAAGCGTATTAATGCGTGGTATGCCACGGTCCCAACTGTCTTCAAGATCCTCTAAAGTTAAACGACGGTTTTGTGCATTTGCTTCTTGTCGTTTAAGTGCGTATTCAGCCCAAACGCGTTGAGAATCGATAAATTCACTTTCCCATGGTTGTATGTAACGATACAAATTCGGAATTAATTGATCCTCATCATGAGACATACCTTAAAGCCATAACAAATAAAATACATTAACTACAAAGAATATTTAAGAGCTTTTTGAAATATATCACTCTAAGATAATCTAAGATTTAGATCTAAGATTATCTCTAAGATAAATAAATATTTTTATTTAACTACTTATTAAGAGTAAGTAATATTTAATTAGAACTTACCAGAACGGAAATGTGTTATTCCCACATCTGTTTGCTTGGACCATCTAAGATCAGACTGGGGTATAAGCACGTGACCCATACTCAACATACCTAATCCACCCAACTCTTTGGGAGTATAAAACACAACAGGTGGAAATCTCGAGGGCATTTTCGAATTAAGACCAATTTTTATACGTGTTTGAATTTTGTTTTCACATTTAACAAGCAAATCCAAAAGCTCTTGCGTATTTACAACCGCTTCACGGAAATACGTCATTAGACCTATTAATGCAGTATTCCATTTGTTTACAATCTGCAAATTGAAAGTTCTTTTTATGACTGCACAAGGTAAAACTATTAATATTTATATATTACTTTTGTAAATGTCGTGGAACCAGATGCCATTAAAATTTGACGAACACGATTGTGAAAACGTCCTAATGATTCGTCATCAACACGTAGGAAACATTGTGCCGTACGTTCTTTAGTTACTTCGTTTTGTAAATTCCAAACACCATCCCGATGTGTGAATTCCTCATTTTGAGTGCGACACTGAAAACGTAAGAGTTTATACGATATTAAGGGAAGGTATAATATACAACATTAAGTACCTTTGGCAAAATTCTGCATTCGAAACCGCTCATATTGAAAAGCAGATTTGGATTATCTTTAGAATAAACTGAAACAAAAGTATTTTCCCAATTAATTGTAGTAACCGAACGGGGAAGTCGATTTTTAATATCCCAGAAAACTGCACGTCCACTTTAAGAATGATAAAATTGAATATTCATTAATGGAATCATTATAAAATCAATTGTTAAGCTTACAGATTAACGTCATGTTTCATAAGACGCATTCGTGCATCGCGAGGCCAACATTTTTTATTATTGTAACCAACAATATTCTCATTATTTGGATCTGGGTGTTCAGTTAAGTAGCGTTGTATCAAATCACGTGCCTCTTCTGCTGTAAACCTGAAGAAAAGGTGAATACGGTCTACATAACGACAGTATAGTCGAATTGGATGAGCTGTTTCTGTAACAGTATCTTGAAAAGTGAGAAAATCATTTGGCATTTGTGGCGGACCAGCCATTTCACTTGCACGGTGTAAGCCAAGACCAAGCAAGTCTAACACCAAACCATAATATTGTGTTATAAACGATGAAAATTGTAATCCGCGTATAATGCCATAACTGTTTGTATGATTCATATCCTTATAATTAATAACAACATTGTTTTTGGCTGTCATATAATCGGCAATGTTATGATCAACAATTAGACGTAACAAACGATTAAGTAAAGTCAAGTCAATTTTCTCATAAAGTTTTTCGAAGCGTGATTCTAGAAGAACATTGCATTCGCCCTCATTAACATCCCAAACCTCTTGAAGATTGTTGATTCCTAAAGAAATTGAAGCAATAAAACTATTAATTAAATTATATACATAAAACTGTTGTATGATCAGACAATTAGAGACATTGAAATAAGTTACTTAACAAATAAATAATAAGGTAATTTTGCCTTGAAATATTAAACGTTGTTTGAAAGAACCACAAGCGTGAGGTTTGCAACAAGGGGATTTCAAATACTAATCACTTTGCCACAAATCACACACATGAAGTGCATATGAATCTCGTGAGATAAACTCGGCAAATAAACTCGTCAATACGATGCTAAGAAGAAAATGCGTTTAAAAGTACCTTGGCACCATTTATAAGCTAACAATGGTGGAGGTTCGGTATCACTAGGTTTGATCCATGGTGGGAATAAACGACGTTTATCTGCTTCGTACCACAGATACTGATCTAGATAAGCATCAGTTATTTTCTCTAAAGGTTCCACATCATAAACCGGTATTAAATGGCTATATAAGTCCATGAATTCGATACCAACCTAAATAATACAAAATAAAATAAAATTTAGAAATCAAAGAATTGAAACGAACTGAAAAAATGATCAAGTAACCTCTTTAAATGCACGTTGTGTAAGTAAATGACGCTTAATACGAGATAGAGCTTCATGTGGATTATCGTAAGCTTGCTCAATAAGTCCTAATTCTTCACGTTGACTTTGATTAAGACGCGATTTAACGCTATAAGCTTCTTTTAAGCGTTCAAGTGCTAAGATTAGCAGTTTTGTGTCATGCTTATATGAAAGTGGTGGGAATGGTATGGGTGCGAAACGACGTGACTCCAACCAATGAACTGTTGTTGTATATATAGCTACAGCTTCCTCAGGTGATATGTACGGTCCATCTTTTAGGTAATTATGTTGGCGTTCTTGTTCAGCTTTAAGATATAAACGTGTCAGGCGCCCCAAATTTTTTTTACAAACTGTTTTATCTACAGTCGCACCTCGTCTAATACGTTCACGATTGTAATGGGCTGTATTTGTCCACCAATCAGCTTTCATTTTAACATAACGTAAAATCATATTTTCAATTGGTATTGGCAACCCCGGTACTTTCCATGGTATATTGGCCTTCCAACAACGCCAAGCTTCTGATAAGTGTTGCAATATAGTACGCGCTTTGTTCTGCTTAATACCTTCTGGCATCATATCTACAATATCGTGCATAACAGATGCTCTTAACTCCAAGTCGAAATGCGATTCTACGCGTTGCTTGGTAACAGTTTTGGCTACGCCTTTAGAGTGACGTCCTTCAAATTGTCGGGAAAGTAAATTTCCTAACCAACGTTCAAGTAGAGGCGTGATTCCACGCATGAAAAAGAGCCATACACGCCAACCCGGTGCCCAAAATCCGCAACCAGGACCTTTGCCAACAGGACCCTGAAAATAAAAAGAAAATTTCATTACCTTAAAATATTATCTCATTTTAAGTTTATATACCGTATTAAAACGATAATAAATAAGATGTTTTAAATCCTTGCACATGCGGATTTGTCGCATAAGTTTGTATTTGTACCGATACATTCCTGTAAGTTGGCCCACATGTGCAAATATATATTGTAAGCCATCAGCTAATTGAAAGGCGTCAACATTGTTGAGGCGGTATTGTACGTGTGAATCAATAATGAGCTTCGTTAAACGCAAAATTTCACGACACAAATGAAAAGCTAAAAATTTAAAAATTATAATCACAAATTAACTTTACTATTTGTAATACCTTACCATTGCCAAAACGAGACTTCTTACGTTCTTTTGTGGTTAATGTCTTAACGGGCTTTAAATTAAAATTATAATCCAAATGCAAATAATTTAAGTTTTTACGATGTATTAATAAATTTAACATATTATAACCTTGGCGACACACTTGCAATCCTGCCTCAACCCAATCCAAAGTGGTTGTTTGGAAAAACTTTGTAGCTTTAAAGGAACGGAATAAATATCTACAATATGTAGCACATTAGTTTTCAATTAGAATAGAGAATTACCTTTAATAAATACCTTTTCTTTTGCGGTTTCGGTTTACGATGTTTTAAAGCATTTAAAACATAATACTTTAATAGTTTTTGATAACTAACGCGGACTTTTACTGGATGTCCAGGTGGACAATGTTCTTTATACCAACTTTTAACTAAAGGTATATCAATAGCACGTCTTGATCGACCGGAGCGTAAATTGAAGGGCCGCGGTGCCCAAAGTAACGCTATACCATTTGCAGTATTATCAGTATATAGTGGCGTGTCCTGTAAAAATGGCTGCAAATCTTCAGGCAAAGAAAAATCTTCGTCGTCATCTGGTAGCGGTTCTTGTACTTTAACAGTGGCATGACGATGTGATATTGGATTAATCAAGGGATCGAAATAAAATGCTGGCAAGTCAGGATCTTCAGTTTTGATATAAACCACATTCGGTGTGTGATACCTACAAATAAGAGTAGTATTAAAAGTAAAAAACAAAAAATAAATATCTAAATAAACAAGTATTTAATAAACTTTATGCTATACACATTTAAATTGTCAATTTTTCTTATATGAAAAATATATGAAAAATGCTGATTCGGCATAACGTCTTATTGATTATTATATTATATGAGTAGTATATTGTTATTAATATAAATCTGGTTTTCATTAAAATTTGTTTGCAAATTTAGCGGTTATGAAATAAGTTCAAATATCATAACCAAAACATATTTGCGCCGATTTGGAAAATTTTTATCGCATTAGTAGTAATTTTCTTATGCGGTTTGTTTAATATTTCACTGAAATTTGATTAAAAAAATTTATATATTTAAACTTTTTCATATTTTTTACAGTGAGTATTGCGAGTCTAAGTGGAATTTAAGCTTACCAAGAGAGATGCACAAAGTGCGGCATGTTGTTGTATAAATATGGAAACGCAATACGATATTCCGTACGTATAGGCTGTCGTATAATGACTTTGTTGATGTCATTAAATTCATTCCAATCTTCATCACTGTAAAAATAATAAAAAAAAAACAGTATTAAAGTAATATCACACATATATATGTTAGAAAGTATTTACCCAACGTTATGATCCTTAATAAGGGGTTCAAATTTGGGACCTCCAGGTATAGCCATATTTAACGCTTTTGCAGTAAAGAAACTTTTAGGATCAAAAAGGTAAAAGAAGTTATCGTCAACTAAATCAGTCAACAACTGATTTGCTAAACGATATAATGTGGCTAATTGTGGTAACGTTAGATTCCATTTTCGATAAGTAGTACCATTTACATAACTGCAAACAACAAATTTTAAAATACATATATATTTTAATATTGTGTATATACATACGGAGAACCAATTAATGGCTTATGTTCATAGAACCATTTGTATACTGCTCCGTCTTCTTCTGAATCCAAATCAATTTGAATAGCTTCCAATGGTTCAACATCTAAAACGTTATCAGCATAATCCAGTGGTGGTTCTTCATCATCGAAAGGTGGAAAACGCATGCGTTTGAAGTGTCTTCGATCACGCTTTTCACGCCTCATCATTATCCACATTGTGCTAAAAAGAAATATGAATAATTTCTCCAAATAAACACTAAACTAAGAAATCACATACCCCCATTGCGCAATGTAAATAGGTTCAACTACCCAAGGTATTTCATTAACAAAAGTTATAGCACCTGTTATATGATATAATACCTGTACATCACGTATCTGCTCCCAAGGCATAGGCATATTCTCTAGAAGTTTTAACACTGCATGAGGCATGTATTTTAGTGCACCTAAATAAACACGCTTATCGTGACGATATTTTCTTGATGTCATATCACCATGATCACGAATAATTTTTCGTATATGCTCTGGAGGCATATCTTCTTTCTGCGCATCAACAAAACCAAATTTTCGTTTTTCTGCAAAACGTTTTGATTGCAATTGATGCCATTTTAGAGATTTTTCCTGTAATTTCTCTTCGGTAATTATTTCTGGTTTTGGAATAGGCACCTGGCCTAACTGTGGTTGCGAATTACCACTATTTACAGATGTTTGTATACCATTGCTAAGAGATGCAGAAAGCGGTGCACCAGGAGGCGGTATTTGTTGTATTTGATTAGCCATTTGTTGTGCGTGCAATTGGGCCTGCTGAGCTTGTGCAGCCACAGCGTATGCTTGCGCTTGCTGCTGTGCCATTAGTTGTGCCGCCCATGGATTGGGCGGTATCATATATGGTGGTAGCGACATTGCTACCTATTTTAAGATGTAAGTTCTCTATTGATTAAAATAGTTAGATTTAATTATTTTTATATATGCAAACAAATTTATGATTATATGCACAATATCATAATTTATATTTGTACAAAACTTTTATTAATGTAAAATTATAATATTTGTAATTTAGGTATATATATTCGTAAAAAAAAATTTGGCGAAATTAATTTCCGGCTGCGATTTTTGCGAACATTAGCATTAAGTTTTTCAGTTTCTTATAAGTGCAACTTACATATGAAATTGTACCTTTAATATGTCGTTATTATAATTATCAACTTTTTTGTTATTAAAAATATAAGATTATTCGATTTTACAACCTTAAGCAAAAGATTTTATTGAGCGGCGTGAAAACGTTTTCAATACGGTAATAAACCAGACATTTTTACAATAGTCAATAGCGTTGCCATTTTGCAGTATTCACTATCAAAACAGTGTTGCAAAATGTAATAACATACAATAATTTCATTCAGCAACCAAACAAAAATGATTGCTTTCAAACAAATTTATTTTAAAAAACATTTGAGATATTTATATAACTAACTTAAGCTGTGTGCGAGTTCGAGTAAATTGAGGTAAAGTACATTGAAATTTCCTAGGAATTATTTGCACTGCACTTATATAAATATTTATTTATTTATTTATTGTACTTATATATTATATATGGTTAATAGTTTTCAAATTTATTTATTTACTTTATAAACATCTCATAAAATTTCCACAATGGTAACACCTTATTTATTACCCTACTCGAAATTCTGGTAAATATCATCTTTCGCTACCATACCCACATAATTTACTATATCCTTCAATTTACCATCAATTTACTCGAACTCGCACACAGCCTTAATAAATGATTAAGAAACATGACAATAAACTTTTAACAATAATCTTTTTAAGCGAATAAGGGGACTTGCAGCAACTCCAGCAATCATATAATAAATAAACGATCCACAATGTCGGCATATTGGTTTTAAAGGTGTATTTGTTGTCTTTCATGTTAAAATCAGTTGTAAATATAATAGTAAGAGCAACACAACATACGCTTTATAGAACTATTTAGCTAATTTACTAATGTACATAATTGAGTTGCTAAATATAAAAATATGAAATCCCCGTATTGTATTATATGCTTCAAAAATATATTTATTATACTTAATTATGAGAATTAAGCATGTAGACTGTTTTATTGAGAATAACTCGTTTAAGTTAATGTCAGCTTAAATGAACTGGCATTAAAATTACATTGCAATGATCAAAATATATATTTTTGTTTTTGTTAATCATAATTTCATATAATGTGCAAATCAATTACGCTTTTTATTTATTTGACATAAACCATTCAGCAAAACAATTGCATAGCATTTATTGTCATTTGAATGCAAAATAATCGTACAACTTGAACTCATTGTAAATATACTAGCCATTCAATAAATTTTCTGTTAGTTTATTCTTATATGTACTAATTATGTTTAAAAATGGTATTAATTTTACTACAATCGAAATTTACGATGAAACCCTGGATTATCAATTCATGTGTTGCTTTCATACATAACATGAGGAGCCGCATTTTAGGTAAATAGAAAAAATGATAAAAACAGAAAAGTTGAGCGGTTTTTTAGAAGGTAAAAGATTTAATTATGAATGAAAATGAAGATAAGTCATAAATTTATTATAGAAGAGAAGAATTCGAGCTCAGAAGGGGAGAATGAAGAATCATTTGAAGATGGAGATATATGCGAAGATTACGAGTTGGACAAAATTTTTCCATTTAAATATAAATTAGCTCAAGAATATGCGGTCTCACTACAAAAAGAATATATACTTAGTTTGTGTAGTGATAGGTAAATTAAAATATATAGGACTTAACTGTTAATAACACATGAATAAATTAGTACTTTTACAAAAGCTGCAGCTGGAATATCAAATGGAACGATTCAACTCTTTGACGTTGTTGCCGAGCGTGGTTTGTCAGCTCTTCGTTCGGACTTTACGCAAACTCCAGGCAGTGGTTCCACTGTTTGTGGTTTACGATTTCTAGATGAAACATCAAATTGTTTATTAGTTGGCACAACAAATGGTTATGTGCGTCTTTTTGACTTGCGCGCACAAAGGGAACAAGCTCTTTTTGATACAACTTCAGAAAGTTCTACATCAAAAACTATAACTAGCTTTGATTGTAACGCAAATAGTCGTATTCTTTGTGCCGGCAAAGAAAAATATCAAGATAATGTATTTTTGTTATTCTTTGATATACGTGAACGAAGAAAGTTGGGTGGTTATTTTGAAAGTCACACAGACGATATTACAAGCATACGTTTTCACGAAAGAGACCCTGATTTACTATGCAGTGGTTCTACAGATGGTTACATAAATGTATATAATATCAAGGAAGAGACAGAAGAAGATGCACTGTTGACTACAATCAACACAGAAAGCAGCGTTGATAGATTAAATTGGTTTGTATTTAAAAATTAAATTGAGTTCTGCTTTAATTTAAACAAACACATTTTAGGCATAAAAATGTTTATGAGCAGGATATTATATCTTGTATTACTCATACGGATTTTATGCTTTATAAATGCGAAGATGGTGATGAAATTAGTAAATTTGAACGACCTGTTATTAGCACAGCTATTAAGCGTACAAATCCTGCAAACTGCAATATAATAAATGTCCACAATATGGTTGATAATGATATGTTTCTTTTAGTTGGGACCAATTTACGCAAAGGGTAAAATAATTATTGAAAAATTTTAAAAATGTTACAATTATTATATTTACAGAGAAGTTTTACGTTCATTGCATGTATTTAATAAGACCTTAGTGCCATTATCTAACTTTGAGGGTAATAAACAAATCGTACGTGAAAGTGTTTATGATATGAAGGTAAAGTTCTGACATTAAAATACATTAGACAGATTCAACTTTCTTTTTTTTTCAGACTAAATGTTTACTAACAGCTGGAGAAACTGGTATTGTGTCCCTCTGGACTCCAATTACTAACGAGGATTCTGACTGTACTGCTTCTAAATTAAAAGCAGTAAAGAAATACAAAACAAAAAAAATCAAACCTTATTAACAGATTAATATAGAATATTTCTTTCAATACTGTCACTATTTTTAATTTATACCAAGCTGTTAAGTAATATAAACATATATTTCTGCTTAATGAAATTTGATTACATTGGTTAAAAAACATTGCAAATATATATACAGTTTTTTTTAATAAAACATTAAAGACAATTATTTAGTACTGAATACTATAACAATTTGAAGTTTTACATATAATTAATTTCATTTAAATAATAAACCACATTGCACACAAGATAGATACATACATTTAAAGAATATAATGGAATGAATTTAATTAGTTAAATAATTCACATATTTCTAATTTTGGCAGAAATTTGGAATTTTAATAAGCTGCGTTTTTATATTTAAGGTAAACCATGTAAATCAAAATGTGTATATAGACTATCTGTTCTTTCGTAAACTGTTTTGGTATTTTTAAGCATGTCAGGTAGAACTTCTTTTGCGCGAGGAACATTGACGCAAACACGTTTGAGCAATTCTCCTTGTGTGGGTAATGCGTACATAGCTAATACAGCACCTTTACGTATCATCCATGGATGATGCTTTCCGAGTGTATCGTTGTACACCTCTTTTGAACAATTATGTAGTTTATCATGTTCTTCAAGTTCAGATAGACGATTTAAAAATTCATAGACAAATTCTGAAAAACAAAACGGATAAAATATCATGTAAATATTGTATTTTGAAGAGATATACAAAGGTATTTAAGCTTAAGACTAGCTATAGATTTGAAAAATAAATTGTTTATAATAAATGGAACACATTTAGTATGTATTAAGAAAAATAATATATAAAAAATGTTTGAAAAAAACTGTTATATACGAAATATATTAACCATTATTTTTTCAAAAAGTTTAACAATGTATTTTACTTTTTTAGTAAATACTTTATTTGAAGTTTAAATTAACTGTTCAACAATTCGAAACCACATGTTAATATATAAAAAATATTTTTCTAAGAAAAATGTTCAACAAAAATTTTAATTACAAAAATAATAGTTTTTTAGTTTTCCTTTTTATAATTATAATATGAATAGTTTTTTTTTTAAGTTTTTCTGTTGTGTGCACATACACAAAGAAAGAGCTGCTACCAATGTAGATATATGCTCATATATCAAATTAGAAAAAATTTTCCATTTTGCTATCTGCTTTCTGAAGCATCAAAATGATAAGTGCAACTATTTTTATTTGTTCGAACATTGATTAATTATACCGAATTCGGCAAATCAGCTTTTTGTGCTATGATTTTAACAGCTTGAGCAATGTTTTCATTAAGTATTATTAAAAAGTAATTTCAGTAGTATCAAGAAAGCTTCTGTAATATATAAAAATAATCAGATATGATTTAAATTAATTAACAATAGATTTAGCAAATTTTCATAAATTTGGATTAATTAAATACTAAACTTTCTTATTACTATTCATTTTTACAAATGAAATTTTTATTTTCTGGTACTCTCTGTAATATAATTATTTTATAATAAATTTAGTAATTATTTATAAAAAATATACGCTAAGAGTAGGTACTCTTTTATAAATAAATAACTGATTTTCACTATATGTAATTGGTTTTTGCAAAATGTTTGCCTTACTATATTCATACATTCTTACCTAACCCTCTGTGTAGCCTTAATAATGTACGACTTCCTGATATATAGTTTTTATCCTTTAGCAGATCAGTATTAATTTCATATTCTATCATAGTTTTTATAGTTTTGAAGTTCGTTGTAGTGCCATCATTGCTCCGAAACTCTTCCAATATGTCAATTTTAGAACGTACATCGCTACTGACAAACCCAAATACGCTGCCCATTAATTGAAAGAATCTAAAATAAAAAATATCAAACCATAGTTAAAAATTAAGATACATATTTATAAAAAATTGTTATATTTTATACTTATTGATTTCTTCGTAAGCTTGTAAGTATTCACCCAAATGAATGTCATCTTCACCGTGTAACGAATCTTGAAAAGTTTGTCCAACTTTTTCAATATCAAAACGTTCTGACATTTCTAAAAAAAAGTTGATCACTACAAGAACAATAAAATATATTTAAAATCTATAAATCACAGAACTTCTGCCCTCTAATATATGAGCTGTAATACTGCAGATTTTATCTTTGTGCTGATATCTGAATAAATAATAATAAATGCAAGAAAGGCGTACTTTTTTTTTAACAGCTGATATTAGTAGTAGCAACAAAGTAGAGTTTTATTAAAAAGTAGTATATAGACATGTATATAGTACATGTCTTGAAAGCAAAAAATATGAATTTATTTCATTGAATTCATTTTTTATTATTTTCTAATGACTGAAGTTTACTGAAGTTATCTAATTATAAGGTGGAAATATTTGAAATTAAATGATATATATGGTATTGCATACATTTTTAAAAACTACAATATGTTAGAAATTATAATTACTCAAATTTATTGACAATTCAAATATATACCACACATTCTTTTAAACTGGTAAATGTTATTTTCTTCATTCTCCGGGTGTGATTTTCGTTTGAACGATTATAATTTTATAAACACAAACTCATATACATAATTACAAATATTTCGAGTAAGGCATATAATAAATAAATTAAATAATGTCGTTTTATGCTTATAAAATATTATTTTCTGAACACGTAATACTTTATATTAATATAAATGAAGTATATTTTATAATAATAAGAATATTAATTATTACTTTTTGAATACATTATAATAATAATTCATTATTATATAAATGTAATTATTTTGTTGAAATTTTACGCATAATAAAAATTATTTAAATATAACTTTTTATTCGAACACTTTAGCAATTACATTTTTGTCTAACAAATTAGGCTACGGAAACTGTCAAATTTGTAACTAATCTATTACAAAGCAAATACCGTTTTACTTGATTCTAGTAAAGCTGATTGTTGCGTTTAGCTAACTGTTTTCGTTTTTCTGTAAAATCGTTTATATTGGTAAATTAAAAAAATGTGTTTATTGCTATATTATGATATGCAATATTTATATAATTTCAGATAAAATGGCACCAATTTCGTCAATTAATCCAGTCCCGCCACGCGGTTTGAAAGAAATAGCGTTTCCCACTCTCAAATTAAGTGAGTTTAGGGAGTTGGTAAATGAAATAATGCCAATCATTAAATCAGGTGGTCTACTTGATGTTGTAAAGTTCGAAACTTTTGTATATAATATGGGGCTATATGGGCTTGAATTGGAGCGTAAAGATGTGCAAATGATGGATAAGTTATTTTGTGATTTGAAAAAGGCATCCACAGATCAACGTTTTGGTTTAAATGTTAGAATTCAAATGCTTAAATTATTAGATTCGTACAATAATCGTTGGGTTGATACTCCCTCTTTTATTATGAAAAATGATGAAAAAACTGTGCAAACAGTAGCAGTTAAGTCAGATATCAGAAATGATCTGGCAGAAAAAAAGAAAAACGTTATGAATACATCAATTTCAGTGATCAAAGAGAAACCTGTTTCAGCTAAACGACTGTTAGCATTATTGAAAGAAGTTAATTCAAAAGAAAATGGTGTCACCAATATCGAACGTAATTTAAAAGAAGATAAAGTATTGACCAAAGATATTGAAGTGGAAGATGATATGTTTGAAAAATTAAACAATGTCGATGAAAAAATAAGAGCACAAATTATAAAGATTGAATATTTAAGCAAAATTAAAAGTTTAACCGGTAAACCCAAACATTTACGTCCAACACCAGTTGCTGGTGAACATCGTAACAATTTGAACTTACCTGACACGAGCTTAAACCGCACCACAGACGCTTTTGGATCTTTGGTTAACAGAAGTCGTGAAGGTGTAGAACGGATTGTTAACACAAATGCAAGCGAAAATAGAAATGTAGAAATTATTGTTTGTGATGATGTTGATTTTATAAAAATATCATGCTCAAATTATGAAAAATGTGTACATGTTGCAGAATTGATAAAATCACATTTTAACACTACTGACTATTGTGTTTGGCGAAGTAAGTTAGCTATGCCTCTTTTAAAAACAAAAGAAGAAATTTGTGAACGTAGAAGATTCTTCACACGTCAAGTGAATCCATCTACCAAATATAAAAATACTGAAGAAGAACCCATTAAATATACAAAAGACTTCTTATTGGCAATAAGATCTCAGATGGATATGGATGAAATTAATTCTGCAAAAATGAAGCGGGGTATTTTGATGACTAAGTCTGCTGCAGCATAATACGATTTTATTGTTCGAATAAATCATATTAACTATTATCTTTCCTAAAAATTAAATATATTATTTAATAAATAAAAAACTTACTAAAATTTACTAATACGATGTCGTATATATAATATCATATTTATGATTAGCATTTGAAGATGGCTCATTTAAATTTCTACCACTTCATATATATATGTTGATTTTAAATTTTTAATTTGAAATATTAATTATATTTTTAAAAAATGTTTCAACATCAATATACATTTCTTTAATTAATTGAAATAAAAATCATTAAAATCTACTTTGAATATTATGTCTAAAATAATGTATTTAGTAGAAAATCTCTCTTCATATAAAAATATTTATGAAGAAATATTTGTGATATACTTGGTTGAAGTACATATACAGATAAAGTGTGGCAACGTAAAATAATATTTACGGCGAAAATATCTGAAGGCGAATTTATCTTTAATTTGAAGGAGTTTCAAAACAACTGGCATTCGCTTTATAACGTTTGTCGCATAAAGACGTATTTGCCGAACAAAGCTAACGAAAGCTATTTACAAACTGGGCTTAAAACGACATAAGGTATAGAAACGTTAAGTAAGAAAAAGAGAAGCTAATATCATTAGTTAGAAAAACTAGCCAACAGCATCCGTGTTTTAAGTGGTAAAGAAAGAGAAAAACGATTATTTGAAGTGCAAAGTGATTTCTTGACTCAAAAGCTTGTACGTAAGAGCGTTTTTTTATTAATCTTTATTAGCAGCTTAGGGTGTGGTACAAGAATTATAAAAAGTATTCAATAATTTAAATGATAAAATTCTATTAAAAATTTAAAAATATTAAGCGATTTTGTAAGAAAGTGATAAACAATTTTTTAAAAATTTAACAACTTGTGATAATGTTGGCTAAGAGTAAAAATATGTTGGTAAGTTGTACTAACACCTGCGCTGTGCTTATCACACTCTGCCTGTTGCTGGTCCAAAGGACGCATGCTCAACGTACGCCAACTATATCGTATATAACACAGGAACAAATTAAGGATATTGGTGGTACAGTGGAATTTGATTGTTCCGTTCAATATGCAAAAGAGTACACCGTGCTTTGGATTAAGACTGATACAGATCCTGTCTTCCTTTCGACTGGCTCTACGCTGGTTATAAAAGACTCACGTTTTGCTATGCGTTATGATCCAAACTCTTCTACTTATAAATTACAAATAAAAGATATACAAGAAACTGATGCTGGCGTCTATACCTGTCAAATAGTTATGTCCGTGACGCATAGTGTGAAGGGTACTGTAAAACTTTCAGTACGACGACCACCAGTCATATCTGATAATTCCACTCAGTCATTAGTTGCAAGCGAGGGCAATGAAGTGCAAATGGAATGCTTTGCCAGTGGATATCCAACGCCAACAATCACCTGGCGTCGTGAAAATAACGCCATTTTACCTACAGGTAAGCTTAAAATTTTTTTTCTTTTACTTAATTAGTACATTAAGTTCTTTTAACATACTAGTATAACTAGATACATAATTTATAAGAATTTCATGTGTATGGAGCGTACTATTGACTCATTGATGCACATTTTTAGTTGACCTTAGATACGAGTAAACAAATGGAGGAGATGGGGGTATCGCGTGACTAGTCACATTAAATTGTATGTGGCAAGTAATGCACATGTATTTTTTGCTTTTAATTTATGAAGTCGATAAACCTTAACGATATATTCTGTACAGATTCTGGATTACTGACTTTACTTAGATAAATGTTGCATATTTTGTAAAATAAAATAATCACATTAGATGCTTTTATTGTATAATTTAAAAGTATATTATTTATATACTTCAATATTGATAAAACACGGGTAGAATTAGAGGTTCATATCTGAGAAATAATGAGAGATATTGTTCTGTATAGAATTAGTGTTATACAGATTTTTTATTATTTATCAATTTTTTTTTTTTTGAGAAACTTAGACTATATTAAACTATATTTCACTAACAGCTGTAATAAGAACTGAATTACTATGTTGAAAATGTATTAGTCAGCTTTGCTTTAGGTCTGAATTGGCACTTGTTTCATAAAGAAAGTTACCTGTTCTAAAATTTCTATAGTCATATTTTCATTTTCTAGGATAATTACTGTGCAAGAATTTTATTACTTTATTAGTAGAAATCTATTGAAATTTATAATTATTTGCATTTTTCAAAGAACAACTAATTATTCCTTCAAATAATTCTGTTAGATTGCGCACCTTCTTTGAAGGTAACACTTGTTATCTACCTAAACTCAGTATTTCCAAACAGGTGAAAATTTCATACAATATAAATTTTACACTTGTGTAGGACGTCTATCACAGAAAGGTAATTAGTTATGCCTTTACAAATTTTTCGTTTTCTCTGTTCTTAGGTATAATTTTCTTCCTATTATGATGTTTAGATAATTATTTAAAATGCACCCTCTTGGCTTAAATTTTTTCTAATATATTATTGCATAGTGATCTTTTCCTTCAGAGAAAATTATTATGGTTTCAGTAGGATTTAAAATATACTTTGTAAATATAGCTTGTAAATATAAAAATTTATATGCATATAGTTAAAAATTAAAATGTTACAATATATTATATATATATATTCTATTCTATACTAATTTTATAAACAAATCCTTAATTATTTTTATAATAAACAAATCCTAAAAGATAAAGATCATTAAAGAGTAAACGCGTATATGTTATATGTTAACTGTTTTATTGACATAATATTAAACTAATATTTAATATAAATAAGATAAACTAATGAGTCTAGCATTGCAATATGGCTTTAATTTATTATGTAGATCAAACATTTATTGTCTCATTAATATATGACGAAAATTAATATATTACGTATTCAAAATAAAATAAGCCAGTAGGTTATAGAAATAATAATATTTATCTATAAATACGTCAAGATCATTTTGATATTTTCTTGACTCGTATTGTTTGGTGAGAAAGGTGCAAAATAAATTTTTGATTAATGTAATTCCAGTACACCATTTCCCAGGTTTTTTCATTTTTTAAGTAGTCAATTTTATTATTTCAGTTTATAAACCTATTTAACAAATGACTTTAAGCCAATATAGTATGTAATACTATAGCTCCTTTTATTATATATGTATTGCTCCAACCATTTAAATATATATATTATGTTAAAAATGTTTTATAATATTATTATATTGTTAATTGTAAAAATTTCCGGGGTAGTAGGTTTTTAAAAAAAGTTTTTAAACCTAAAACAGTGTAATATGTCTTCTTACATTAGCCATATAATTCTAACAGTTGGAATTCAATGCTTTTTTAATTAATCTTAATCTCTAGCACGATTTGCATGTAGATAATGATTGATATTGTTAAATGTCATTTAAATTATGAAATATGTTTATTACGAGCAGACGGATTGATTTCTTTTTGTTAAGCTAATTTTAAAAAAATCTTAATGGTAACTTAATAATAATATCTCCAGAAAATTTAGATTGAAACTAGAATATATGAAACTTATTTATATATTGATTCGATGTAAATATAACTTTTGATATAAATCTGTATAATAATTAAATGACGTGGGTCAGAAAATGGCCGTTAAATGGTGCATGGGAACTATATAGAGTTTATTAAGAAAATATATCCCCGTATATATTGTGCAACATTACTTCTAAGTTATTTTTTTAAGAAACATATTTAAATGACTTATGATCTGAGCACGTTTTTCTAATCAAAAAACGTCAAAAACTACTTAAGTAAGGATTAAAGTTGACAATTACACACGGAAAGAAAATAACGCTTGTAAGTAAAGTTGTGTGTAATTTTTGTGTAATGCCGGCTGCTGCATTTTTGAAAAAGAGAGCGTTTGTACTAAGCTGATGCACGAGTCTGTGTTATTTAAAGTAGAAGTGGCAGTCTAGTCGGTAGACCGAACCAAATCTAAATACCATTAAAGGGAGTTTCACACTTTTTAAGCTCTTAAATAAACTTTATTTATGTATGAATGAATAGCGTAAATAACGATGCCGAGGTAGCAGATTTTGTTGTAGAAGGGCGGGAGCTGAAGACGTAAGCATATAAGCTGGAACTAAAACCCTTTTTTTTGTGCATTCAACATTCGACAACTTCAGCACGCGCAATTGCTTCCGCAACTTGAATATGTTCTCATGCGAGAAATGGGTGGATTACAAAAAAAGTAGAATAACAGTAGCAACAGCAACAACAACAACAACAGTAGTAGTAAAAATAGAAACAATAACAACAAAGAGTTAGAAGGAAACAGTTTGCAACTAATGTAAACAAATGCAAACAAAATGTAAAACCGAAACGAATTCAGAACAAAGCAAATTGTTTGTAGCTCATAATTTTCACAAAAAAAAAAACGCATCTGAAACATAAATTATAAGGTAAAATGACAAAGAATGAGCACAACAAACGCTGTGAAAATAAACAAACAGTTTTGCTTAAAAAGTAAAGTAACGGTGAAGGACCCTCTTTTTTGAAGCTGGCTTTGCTTTGCACTTTTGTGTGACGACATTACATTTTGTTGCCAAAGGCTAAAGCAGGCGTTGCATAAAAACCATTTTAAGCTAAATATTTTTTTCGTTAAAATACAGGGTGTGTTTAAATGTCAAAATTTTAGTTAAATATTATTCATTTTAATCTTATGTACATTTGAATGCGCATACACACATACACATGTGCAATATTTAAATTTATGAGTAAATATTCATGTTAAAAAACTTATCCGTGCTTTTGTATATCGCCAATTGTTAATTATTTGCATTTTGTCTGATTTTACCATTTTTATAAATTTTCTTAAATTTTTTTAAAATAACTGCAAAGTCATCAAGGTAATTTATTTTAAAATATTATTGTATATCAACTGCAATTGCATAATAAGTTTTTGATTTGCAGCTGTTCAGATTTTTAGCATTCTAGTGTTTACCCTTTACGTACATTACATATGTACATTCATACATATATATTAATTCATACACATATATAAGATAAAAATTAAACTATATGAGCTGTAAAATTTTAACTTAAGCAAACTAAAGTTTAAAAATTGAAATAGTGAAAATTATTATACAAATAATCTCTAGTAAGTGCATTAACTACGAGGGGCGTGACTTCAGTTCTTCATGTTCTATACATAACTTATATATATATAGTAATAAATAAAGCAATATTATGAGATTTAGGAATCTTAATTGAAATAAAAGCAAGTAGAGTAACGATACAATAAACAAATAATATAATTCTATACTCACCTCACGTGATCTTAATGCCAGAATTGTTACTAACTAATATGTATGTTCATATGTACTGTATTTCAAACCGGCTTTTTAAATTGAATTTTTTTTATCTTAAAATATCATATTTATCGGGCGATTTGGTTTAAATATATGATTAATATTTAATTTGAAAAGCAATAATTCTTTATTAGAATTTATTATAATCAATAAAGATGCATACATTAATTAATAAAGGTAGAATCGTTTTTAATGACTAATCGTGAATATACTTTTTCGCGCTATTACTCATCAAAACTGTCATTTGATAGAACTATTTCAGATTGTGATTAATTCAAGCAGGTTTGCAAATAATAATTTTATTAATTCAGATTGGTGTTGGATCATTAGGATCCAATATTAAGTTCGTTTGTGTTAGAGTTTACAATAAAGAATTATATTTGTACAGTAAGTGAAAGGAAATGAGGCCTGTTGTCTTTAAATCGTGAACTTCCTTATATTAATTTTTCACAAGCCTTTAGAGATTGTAGAGTCTAAACAAAAATTAATTAAACGGAATACTATGCATTTGAGTTGAAATGTTGAAACATTATTTTTTTCTTAATGTATTTCATACAACAAATTAAAAAAGGATCAATAAATGTGGTATTACTAAAACTAAGTATTTTTTTTACTTATTGACCTTTCAGCGAAAGTAAATATTCTCATTTATAAAACTTTTCTTATAATGCCCGTATATAAGCTTAGGGTCGTATATATAAATCATTTAGTTTAGTACATATAACTGCATAAAATTCAGGAATATTGAACTAAAAGTTAAAATGTTTTTGAATTGTAAAGCGATAAAAAGTTTTTAGGGTTTTCTAAGTCTATCGTTTTTAGTGTTTGCATATAAACCGATAATAATAATCGCCTTTAGCATGTAAATATGCACGGGTGTATATACGCAAAAAAAGAAAAACAAAGCGTGCTTAGGGGAGAAGTTAAAGGATTAAGTACCTTTGTAAAATAGTTTAGAATTACACTTGACTTTAGCATATGGTATTTTTTATTGTTGTTCAACTCAGTGTATATTTTAGTAGCTATATTATAATAAATAGCTATATTTCAGGCAATAAGGTTCAAAGATTAAATGTTAAGAAAGCAAAACACTAGAGAAATAAATTAGTCTGAAGGAGTTAACATAAAATAAGTTTTATTTAAACTAAAATTTTCAGATATATTTATAGTTATTCTGATACTCAACAATTTAAGATAAATACAGAAAAGAAAGATATATAATACATAGAGATATTTAACGTAATAAAATATTGTATTTTTAATGTACTGATACTTTCCGTTTCAGAATACATATTTAGGTAACTTATAAAATAAGTGTGAATAAATCTTAGATCCCAAAATAATTTACTTTACAAGATGTTTTACATATTTTTTATATGTCATATTTAACGATGTTTTATTTACCTTTTTAAAACTATTTGGTTTAATAGTTTTATAATTTCTGTTTATTACTTAATAA